GGATTAATAGTTACCCTTTTGCATTGAATGGGAAAGAGAGAAGGATCAGTAGAAACAAGCAGAGGTTCAAAACCTAAATGTCTATATTGTTATGGAATCTCACATAACAAACATGTGCACATAGCGTTTCCAAACATAAGAAATGAACAAGCCTGGCCCTGTAGGGTTAATACCTCTAATACCCCTCAAGTTGCAGGATTAAAAAAAAAATAGTGGATAAAGTGTTTTCTCTCTCATGGGCCAAAATGTCAAGAAAAAAGTACCCCCTGCTAAATTTTCCTGACTCATGCTGCTGTTAAATTCATGGTTGTGTAGGTCCTATATCAGCACCCACCCCTGCAAAAAAAAAAAAAAAATTGAGGCAAGAAAATAAGCCATGTGGGACCCTAAAATTAGAAAATCAATAAAAAAAATTCAAAAAAGAAAAGAAAAGAAAAGAATCCATGTGGGACATTCTGTTGAAGACAAATGAATTATTGTTACTTTTTTCAGAAAGCAGAAGAAACATCTAACTGTTGAGAACCTCAAAGCTAACAACTTCTGGCACATTTAATCTATGGCATGCTATTTTTCAGGACATAATTTATTGTGGCCGCAGTGAAAACTCTGATTGCTTCCATTTCTTCCTGAAGTTTGCCGTTCATGACAAAATGGCCGACGCCATCGGTTGATGGTCTCCTAACTCTTTTTCGGTAAGTCACCCTGAGAACAGATGCATCCTGTTTACACCAAGAGCTGCAGCTGAAGCTTCCAATTTGAGCCAAAGCTTTACAGTGTTAGACTCATGATGAGCTTTGAATAGAAACTTAACTTCCGTTTGTGTTTTGACTCAGCTAGAGGTGAAAACACCGAGTTTGGTGGGGAAAACCAAACTATAATGCATTAACTTTTTTTTTTTAATCTCATGGAGGGAGTTGAAGTCCACATATCTTAAAACCACCAACACTGAGAAACATTGATGTAGGATATTCCCTGCCTGACTCAAAAGGGTGAAAGGTTTTTATGTAGCGCCTTGTAGGGATCAACAGGATTTCCCATAGAAGAACCTCTAGGGCAGTGGTTCTCAACCTTTTTAATGCCGCGACCCCCAACCGGTCATAAGTCGAGGACTACTCAACCGGTCGTAAGTCGAGGACTACTCAACTGGTGCAGCACCATTTGCAGAATGGGACTTTTGGTGGGCTCAGCAGGGCAGAGACAGCCTGGACAATTCCTATTGGCTTTTGAAAGCCAATAGAATTAGACTCTATTCAAGAGAGTCTATTCTATTGGCTTTCAAAAGCCAATAGAATAAAAGGGAGTAGCACAGCTAAGGAAAAGGGAGGGGAAAAATGGCGGACTGCGTTGTTTGGCGACCCCCGTGAAATGGTCGTTCGACCCCAAATGGGGTCCCGACCCACAGGTTGAGAACCACTGCTCTAGGTCAAACATACCAGGTCCACAATGATAGGTCCCTATTATGATAGTGACTTCCTCCCTTTTTCTCTCTGTTATTGAGATTGTAAAATAATAATGGAGACAAATACAGAGTAACAGAGTTGGAAGGGACCTTGAAGGTCTTCTAGTCCAACCCCCTGTTCAGCGAGGAGACCCTATTTCATTCTGAACAAATGGTTGTCCAATATCTTCTTAAAAAACTCCAGTGTTCAAGTGCCCACAACTTCTGGAGAAAGTGAATTAAATTTCTTAGCAATCTGGGCCTCAGAGTGCCTACTGCATCATATGACCATGAAGATTCTCAATAATCGAGGTCATGGTTGTCCCAAATATGCTTTTTCAAAAGGCAACCGGACTTTCTTATTTTTTTCCTTTGAAAACAATTTGCTTCTCATCCAAGAAGCTTCTTTAACTGCATCATAGTCTGATGTATAGACTGCAGAGCTTTCTCTTCACTTCTCTCCACATCCATTCCCTGATAAAATCCAATCCTTCCCTTCCCTCTCTCCTAGAAGGAAATGGAGCCCAGATTATGTCCATCCATAATCCTCACTTGCTACAGATTAGGCACTTGATAAACACAAAGATCTCATCTTTGTAATCCACGGTGGATCTCCAAAGCAAGCAGACAGGAAATACAGACAATGGAGATAATAAACAAGTGTTCTGCTCAACCTCAGATACCCAAGAGTGATGATCTTTCAGCAACAGAATTGTTCTCAATTTATGGCGCATATTGTAGTTTGAAAAATAAAGTGGATCGGAGACTATACATAAGGATCCAGATTTGCAACTTTGACTTTGCCCAACTTGAACCCGTGATAAAGGTGAACACATCTTCAAGTCAAGATCCTCTTTCAGTGAATACTATCTATACTAGGCATGTCAAACTGCCGGCCCATGGGCCAGATGCATCACAACAAAATCATGCCCACCCCAGTCACGATACGTCATGCGATGTCACGTGACATCACGAGTTTGACATGCCTGATCTATACGGTTTCTTAGGAATGATTGGCCATTGCTGCCTTCTGCAATGTCTTAGTTCCCCAGCTTAGACTACAGTTTAAGACTTCCTGATAAGTCTTATAATGTCCATGCAATGAGAAGGTTACTGTTACAGGACAGAATGACTGTCTGCAGAGATAACGTAGCTTATATGTGAACACTATTAAATGTTTGATTGGCTTACATGTTATTGATTGCACTGGATTTATGACTGTAGTAATTTTATTTGCTTTGCTCTCAGGATTGCAATGTTAGAGTGCAATTTTAGCCATACTTGTTCAGAAATCTCTTAATTTCTCAGGAAAGATGGGATATGGGTTTCCCTTAATCTTGTGGGTTTTTTTGGTCACAATAAAACCTATTAAAGATATGCCGAATCAATGACACACAATTGAATAAACTATTCTGAGGTTGGTAAAAGGAGGACCTAGATTGTTGGCAGCCATATGAGGGCAGGACAAGAAACAATGGATGGAAACTAATCAAGGGGAGAAGCAACCTGAAATGAAGGAGAAACTTCCTAACAGTGAGGACAATTAACCAGTGGAACAGCTTGCCACTGGGAAGTTGTGGGTGCTTCATCATTGGATGTTTTTAAGAAGGTTTCTTCCAGGTCTATCCTGATTCTGATTCTCTGTCAACTACTTAGAGAGGGCTGTAAAGCACAATGAAGAGATATACAAGTCTAAGTGCTATTTAGGACAGAACTATGTTGAAATTTACAACATCTCTAATATCTGAACACTCTAGAGTCAAACATGAAAACATCTATACCTGGGAACATTTGCTACTGATTTCCATCCTGTTTGTAAAGCTTGTTTTTCCTTTTTTCTTGTAAACATTTCCACCATTGGTACTTAGGCTGTGAACTTGTGACTTTTTATGCATAAAGCTTTTTTCCCCTCCCTTTTGTTTAATCACATCTGATTCTTGGAAACTGTTTGGACAAGTCCCTGCAATTTTATTGGCAACGTTTTTCAGTAATGGTTTGTCATTGCCACTTTCCTAAGGATGAGGGAAAGTAACTGGGTCAGGGTCATCCAGTTTTGTGCCTGAAGTGGCACTAGAACTCCCAGTCTGGGTCCTTCTCTGATGCCTTAATCGCTACACCCAACGGGCTCTTATTAATAAATGCCATCAATTTGATTTTGATGACTTGAATCAATTCCCTCTGGATGTAAAATCAATGCTTACTGCAGTCCCTCCAATCCCCCCCTTTTAAAAAAAGATAGAGAATAACATATATGTAGAAAAAGAAACTTTATGTAGCAGCAAAAGTTTTATAGAATACTTCTGATTAACAAGAAAATTATACCATGGGGAACACAGAAAAATAATATTATCAGAATCAGTGCAACTATAGAAGTTAAAAAAAATCCAGAAAAAATAAGCAATGATCGTAAGAATAGTGCAGTATACAGCATAAAACATAGCACAATATAATGAAATGCAATGAAAACCCGTTTTAATGCAGTTTATATAGCATAAGAGGGAAAACTTTAAAGCTAATAGTATAAAATAAATGCAATTGCCAGGGCAGTGTTATTCAGTTTCATAAAATAAAAAAGGTTAATGCTTATATGTGCTACATCTTGATAAAATCCATACATAACCTTAATCCATGAACATACAATGCACATTTATAGATACCTCTGCTTTCAGCAAAACAACCATTGATTCTTGGCTCACTAGATAGTGAAAACAGCAAACTAAGAAACTTTCTGGGCCTAAATGTCTAATTCAAAGTAAATGAAGTAGTTAATGAAATTGACTTCAGAGAAACTGGTGACCAGCTGTTTAGCACTACAAGGCTGATCAAGTGAACCAGCTGTTTAGCATTAGAGAGCAGAAGAACAAAATTGAACAAAAGCTGGTGAGTTAAGTATTGGAGGTAGGGGAAACAGGTTTTCATTTGCCTCATTTTCTTAAAAAAATAAAAACAGGGTCACTCTTGAAAAGTGATTTTAGCACATCAGAGAAGCCATCAAGTATTGCAATATGTCATGGCAGTAAATTAAGAATAGAATAGAATAGAATAGAATAGAATAGAATTAGAAATAGAAATATAATAGAAATAGAATAACAGAGTTGGAAGGGACCTTGTAGGTCATCTAGTCCAGCCCCCTATTCATGCAGGAGACCCAACACCATTTCTGATAGATGGCAGTCCAGTCTCTTCTTGAAAGCTTCCAGTGATAGTAGGAAGGTTGGAGTAGAAGAGGAGAAGTGGGGAGAAAGGGTAGGAGAGTGGTGAAGGAAAGAGAAGAGGAGAGGAAGAAGAGGGAAGTAGGGAAGAGAAGAAAGGGAGAAAGAAGGTAGAGAAGAAGGAATGTGGATACAGTGAAAGGGGAAATGGGCGAGCAACACCAAAAGTCATGTGTATGTATTTATTTCATTTTATTAAAAGTATCTTATATATGAATGTAAAAAGAATGTATGTTAACATCTGATAAATATCACGGTATATGTATGGGGGAGAGTTTGGAAAAATAAAAAAATATTTTAAAAAAAAGAAAGCTTCCGGTGATGAAGCTCCCACAACTTCTGGTGGCCAGCTGTTCCAGTGGTTGATTGTTCTCACTGTCACAAAATCTCTCCTTATTTCCAGGTTGAATCTCTCCTTGTTCAGTTTCCATCCATCATTCCTTGTCTGGCCTTCAGGTGCTTTGGAAAATAGGTGGATTGGTTTGAAAAGTGCACAGTAAGTTTTTTTAGCTCGTTGACATTTTCCCTTTTAGACATACTTTAAGGGGACAGGACAACAATTAGGTATTTGTGTATCCATAGTGCATTTCTTAGCATTGGTGAACTTTGGGGTGAAGATATTAAACGTCCTTTCTTTCACAGAAACTTTTTTTTAAAGTAGAAAACAAACTTGTTTCTTCCTTTTATTGTTAAGGCTGATGAAGCAGAGACTGTCACATGGAAATGGATATTTTTGTGACGTTTAATGCTTTGCTGTGACTTTCCATGAAACATGTAGCTCAGAACAGTGGTGCATGAAGGATGGGGGAAAGAAATGGATGATGGAGGGGAAAAGGTGGGATCTCATTTCATGTATGCTTCATTGATAGCAAATGGCTATTTCACCTGTGAAAAGAGAAAGAAAAAGAGGAAGAAGGAAGAGAGAGAGAGAAAAAAAGATTAAACCAGGTACTCAATATTAAATAATTGACCTAGTGTGGGTCTCTAGGATATCTAGCTTATTACCATTGATTAATGTCTTAACTAGCTGCATTATCTTAGAACAAGTGTTATACAGGTAGTTCTCGACTTACAACTATTTGTTTAATGACCATTCAAAGTTACAACAGCCCTGAAAAAAAACTGACAGCTGGTTTTTGCATTTACAACCATTACAGCATGCTCATGGTCATGTGATCAAAATTTGTGCACTTGGCAACCAGCATGATGGCTGCAGCATCCTGGGGTCATGTGATCACCATTTGTGACTTTCTCAGCTGGCTTCCAACAAGCAAAGTTAGAATAACAGAGTTGGAAGGGATCTTGGAGGTCTTCTAGTCCAACCCCCTGCTTAGGCAGGAAACCCTATACGTTAGATTGTCCAGTCTCTTCTTAAAAACTTCCAGTGTTGGAGCATTCACTTGTAGTTCCACTGGTTAATTGTTCTGTCAGGAAATTTCTCTTTAGTTATAGGTCAGGCATGTCAAACTCATGACATCACATGATGTTGCGCGATATATCACGACTTTTTCCCCATTGCCGGCAATGGGGTGGGTGTGGTTTCGGCATGACACACCTGGCCTGTGGGCTGGCAGTTTGACATGCCTGTTCTAGGTTATTTCTCTCCTTGATTAGTTTCCATCCGTTGCTTCTTGTCCTGCCTTCAGGTGCTTTGGAGAATAGCTTGACTCCCTCTTCTTTGTGGCAGCCCCTGAGATATTGGAAGTCTGCTATCATGTCACCCCTGGTCCTTCTTTTCATTAAACTAGACATACCCAATTCCAGCAATGGGAGTCAATGGGAGAAGCTGAATTTGCTTAACAACTGCATGATTCTCTTAATAACTACAGTGTTTTGCTTAATAACTGGGGCTGAAAAGATCATAAAATCTGTTGAGACTCTCTTAACACCTGCTTTACTTAGCAGAGGAAATTCTGGATCCCAACTGTGTTCATAAGTCAAAGACTACCTGTAACTCTTGATAACAGAGATTAATTAGTTAATAGGCAAACCAGTAAGTATACAGAAGCATACTTTGTGCCAGGGGCCTTCAAACTTGGCCCTTTGATGACTTGTGGACTTCCACTCCCAGAATTCCTCAGCCAGCATGCCTGGCTGAGGAATTCTGGGAGTGGAAGTCCACAAGTCATCAAAGGGCCAAGTTTGAAGGCCCCTGTTTTGTGCTATGTTGGGGTATCTGCAATGCTTTCTCAAAATTCTGAATATCCACATTGTAGTCCAAAAGGCTGAGGGATTTTTGGACTTAGCTACTGAGTTGGCCCACTCGGTGCAAGGGTGAGTGAACCCTCCAGTTATTGTTGAACTATAACTCTCAATATCCTTCACCCTTAGCTCGGCTGATAGAGGCTGCTAGAAATTGAAGCTGAGGAACATTTAAGAGGACCCAGGTTTCTCAACCTGGGATGGTTAGAACAGAATATAGAACATCATCAGAGTTGGAAGGGATCTTAGAGGTCTTCTAGTCCACACCCCTGCCCAAGCAGGAGACTCTATATTATTTCAGACCAATGGTTGTCCAGTCTCTTCTTCAAAGACTCCACTGATGGAGCACCCACAACTTCTGAAGGCAAATGTTTCCACTGCTTGATTGTTCTCACTGTCAGGAAATTTCTCCTTAGTTCTAGGTTGTTTCTCTTCTTGGTTAGTTTCCATCCATTGCCTTCTGGTGCGTTGGAAAATAGGTGAACCCTCTCTTCTTTGTGGCAGCCCCTCAAATATTAGTACGCTGCTATCATCTCATCCCTAGTCCTTCTTTTCACTAGACTAGATATACTCAATTCCTGCCTAAGTTCTAGCCTCCAGCCCTTTTACAGGGTTATGGTTAGAGTTTTTATAAAATAACATTCTTAATATTTAGCAAACAGCATGTTGTCTGGGTTCACATATTTAAAAAATAATAAGTAATAATTAATTTCTATATTATCATAATCAATATGTTAGTTAATCACTCAATAGTCTTCTTACTGGTATATATTCAATGTTACATAGTACATATTACATTTCTTTCTATCTCACTTTTCTAGCCATTGATAAAAATTGTCCCATGTTCTAAAGTACACTGAGTTTTCTTTCTCTTTTATCTTGAATGTCAATCTGTCCATTTCTGCACAATCTAAAATTTTCTTAATTAGTTCTTCTGTTGGTAAGTTTTCATTTTTCCAATATTGGGCAAATACTATTCCTACTGTGGTTAATATGCAAATCCATGTTTCTGTGCCGTGATGGGTAGATTACTCATTTACCACAGGGGCAACTGAGGAAGAAAGAGATGGCGATAATAAGTAATAAGTAATAATAGTAAAGTTGGAAGGGACCTTGGAGGTTATCTAGTCCAACCCCCTGCTCGGGCAGGAAACCCTACACCATTTCGGACAAGTGGCTGTCCAGTCTCTTCTTAAAAACTTCCAGTGTTGGAGCATTTACTGCTTCTGGAGGCAAGCTGTTCCACTGATTAATTGTTCTCACTGTCAGGAAGTTTCTCCTTAGTTCTATGTTGCTTCTCTCCTTGATTAGTTTCCACCCGTTGCTTCTTGTCCTGCCTTCAGGTGCTTTGGAAAATAGCTTAATTCCCTCTTCTTTATGGCAGCCCCTGAGATATTGGAATACTGCTATCATGTCCCCCTTTGTCCTTCTCTTCGTTAAACTAGACATACCCAATTCTAGCAACCGTTCCTTATATGTTTTAGCCTCAGTCCCCTAATCATCTTTGTTGCTCTTCTCTGTACTCTTTCTAGAGTCTCAACATCTTTTTTACATCGTGGTGACCAAAACTGGATGCAGTATTCCAAGTGTGGCCTTACCAAGGCATTAAAGAATGGTATTAATACTTCACGTGATCTTGATTCTATCCCTCTGTTAATGCAGCCTAGCACTGTGTTGGCCTTTTTGGCAGCTGCAGCACACTGCTGGCTCATATTTAAGTGATTGTCTACTAGGACTCTGAGGTCCCTCTCACAGTTACTACTATTGAGCATGGTGCCACCTATGCTGTACTTGTGCATTTGGCATAATCTATTTCTATGGTTTGAATTGATTTCCTCTTTTACCTTGATGAAAGTGACTAGGCCGCCATAAAATATGGCCACAATGAAGAGAACAATGAAGGTGAAAACTTTATTCCAGACACCATTGGCTTCTTCCAGCTCACTGTATTCAGCTTCGCTTTCGTTGCGGATGTCACAGAAGGCAGCTCCCATGAGGCTACAATCCCAGGAATCTGAAGAATGGAGTGGAAAAAAAACAATCAAATTAGAAAGACGTTTCTGAAAAGCCAACAAAAGCCAACAGAAAGCATTGGATGGACTAGACAGAGGGAGAAGGCATTATGAATTTCTATTTCATCATTGATTTAATATGTGTACGGGTAGTCTTCGACTTACATCCATAACTGAGCCTGGCAATTACTGTGGTACATTATGCTGGTTGTAAAATGGGTAACTACGTGTCCAAGCTGATTTTCAAACTATTTTTTTTTGTTTGGCCATTGTTAAGCGAACACCGTGGTCATTAAAAAAATGCGACAGTTGTTAAGGGAATCCATTGTTCACTATGGGCTTGTTTTTTTCCCCAGAAACCAGAGGTAAATGGTGATTTCTGGCAAAAAATGCCATAAATGGTGACCACGTGACTTCAGGATGCTGCAAACATCTGTAAATGTGGGCTGGTTGCGGAGCACCCAGAAAGCGATCACATGAGGGCAGCCATTGAAATTTCAGAATTGAGTCATAAGTATTTTTTATGGCAGCGGTTCTCAACCTTTTTATACAGCGACCCCCGGTCACATGGATGCGGCGCGCATGCGTGGCGCCGCCCCCTGAGGGGGGAAAATGGCGGATCGCGTTGTTTGGCGACCCCCGTAAAATGGTCGTTCGACCCCAAATGGGGTCGTGACCCATAGGTTGAGAACCGCTGTTTTATGGGGTCCATCATAACTTCAAATAGTTTTAAATGACCGGTCAAAAGTGAAGGAAAACCTGTAATTATGAGATTTCATATGACCAAGAACCAAATGTTCAGGGGGAGTTATAAATACGAGACCCAGAAGTATAAAATAATCAAAACAGATTTAAAGCAAGTCAATGCAATCTGTGTCATGCCTAGAGAATGAACTATAGAATCCTCATTCCCCAAATCATATAATTCAATACTGAGCCAGTTTTAAAAGCAGCAAGGAGAAATAATTAGCGTCAAAAGTCATGTTCAAACGTAAGGAAAAAGACTACAAACAATTTTTTGGGGGGGTGGGGTGGGGAAAAAAACACCGAATGCATGTCAAATGAATATATGTGGGAATCTATAAAACTCCACGGCCCATATAGCATCTTCGGGGCATTGCATTAACCTAAATTATGGCTCTTGTTGGTGTAAACCAAGGTGCCAATCAAAGAAGAAAGAAAGAAACATCCAACTGGTAGACATTATTTTAATGTAAAATGGAAAGATACATAAAAAGTGCCTTATAACAAGAGCACCACAATTGGTGTGGCTGTTGGCGTTGTTGTTGTTTTTACCAGTTAAGAAATTAGTTGTTCTAGCGATTATGTTTTCAGAAGAGATGTGAGCTACAAGGCATCTGTAGGAGGCTCCCATCATCCATTTGCTGGTGGGGATTTCGAGCATGCTTAGCAAGGAACATGTTTGTTTCTCGTGATCACATTTCATGCCGTGGGCATCGTGGCCTTTAAAGGACAACTCTTGGTTTTCTTCTTCCCACTTCAGAAATATTTCATCTGGATAGAAATCTTTCGCTATGCACAGTAGGGTTACATTGAGGTCTTCACTGGATGACTGACGCTGGAGATTCACTTTGGGAGGTCTCACAGTCCCTGGATTAGCAAAGACAAGACAACATGTTTGGGAAACAAAATGTACTGGACTCTATCATCTTTGTACCCTGAGGTGTATCGAGAAGGGTTTTTTTCCCTCTCAGAACTCCCTTTCCTCAGAACTAATATTTAATTTTTTTTTCATGTAAGTTTTAAACTCCCCTTCAGGGTAGAATCAGGGTGACTGGATGGAGCTGAGCGTTTACTGCCCGGCTACCCTTCCTGACTCCTACAAGGAGTTCACAGCAATTTTTTTTTTTCCCTTTGGGCCCTGGGAGAAAAATATCTGCCGCTACCTAGGATTGAACTTTCAACTTTCCAAGCAGGAAGCAAGTGTCTTCACCACTAGGCCACCATGCCACTCACTTTTCAGATAAGGATGATGGGTTAGAAATCTTCAATGTTCCTGCCATCCTTGTCAAGCTATGACTTCTGGAATTCTGGTGGAATTCCTAAGTTAAAGGCCATCAATATTATTTATTTATTTATGAGATTTTTTTTTATCCTGCCTTTATTACTTTATAAGTAATTTAAGGTGGCGAACATACATATATTCCTTCTTTCTCCTCTTTTCCCTACAATAACAGTCCTGGGAAGTGGGTTGGGCTAAGAGAGAGGGACTGGCCCTACGTCACCCAGCCAACTTTCATGCCTAAGTGATTGGCTCAAAGTCACCAGGCTGGTTTCCATGCCTAAGGTGGGACTAGAACTCACAGTCTCCTGGTGATTGGCGGCAAAATCACTAGGCCGGTTTTCATGCCTAAGCTGGGACTAGAACTCACAGTCTCCTGGTGATTGGCCCAAAGTCACTAGGCTGGTTTTCATGCCTAAGGTGGGACTAGAACTCACGGGTCTCCTGGTGATTGGCCCAAAGTCACCAGGCTGTTTTTCATGCCTAAAATGGAACTAGAACTCACAGCCTCCTGGTGATTGGTCCGAAGTCATTCAGCTGGCGTTCATGTTTAAGACAGGACTACAACTCACACTCTCCTGGTGTTTAAACCAGCACCTTAAGCATTTGGCCAAACTGGCTCTGTTGTGAACATACCATTAAGATGTTGCCATGATTCTACTCTTCAGAAACCAGACTCTGCTAAGTGTTATCTGGTTTTGACCACTGCTAGGATCAATTCAGAGTAAGGTTGAATTGAACTACTTCCCAATCTCTCTATACTCTCTCATTTGCTTTGCCAGCTCTTTATATGAGTCCTTACCATTCCTTCGGTCAAAATGCTTCGTCTCTGTTTCTCCTTGGCCGTTCTGGATGCTACAAGTGAATTGGGCGGTGCTAGTCCACTCACTCAGATTCACCTGCAATTGGCCATACATCAAAGAAGTGTGGTTGCTTTCTTGGAAGACTTCATTTGTCACTGAATTATTGTTGGCCGGTTTGCCATCCATGGTCCAGCTGAAGGTTGCATTGGCAGTGGCATTCATGAGGGGCACCATGCAGGTTAGAACTGCACTTCTATTTGTGAAGAGCTCTTCAAAGGAAGGCAATTGCATCTTGATCACTTCCATGTTGCTTGGAGATGTCACCATTCCTTCAAAAGCAATGCGGCATGAATTAATTTGATGGGTACTTTCCTGTTCCTGTCTCACCTCCTTGCCTAAAGGGGATATATTGGAACGACTGTTTCAAATACAGCTGCTCCTTCTTGTGATTAGCCTGGGAAATCTAAATAAAATTAATCTAACATTTGGACGTTATGGCTGAAAAAGAAGGAGGAACAAACAACTTCGTTCTGTTCCCCCCAAAAATGCAGATCCTTCTACTTGGAGATAGGCAAGATGAAGGATGTATGGAATCAATGTGGTTTGACCCACATTCAACCCTTTCTTCCTCAAAGCTAGTAGATTAACCCTCCATCTAATAGAAGTAATTATTTACTACGAGCTTCAAATGCAGAACAGACATGATATTCTAAAAGCTATTCATCTCTCTCAACCAATCAGCTGCTTTTCTCTCTCTTTGATGTCAGTCAATATCAACTCAATAGCCGCAGCCATCAGCACCATGGTACACTTATGGAATGGGACAATTTGGCACAGCCAACTCATCATGGCCAACTTGGCACAGCCTACCTGCCATGGCCAACTAGCCGCAGGGCAATTCAACAACTACAAAAGTTAAATCAATTTCAATGGAACCGTGACCAATAATAATAAAATAAAGACAGTCAGTTCAAAACTACAGGAGTTACAATAATTTCAATGAAAACGTGGTCACCAATAATAAAATGAAATGATTAATACAGCATTGAAAGGTCCCTCAGTTGACTGTGGTGAGTTGTTCTATAGTATCTTTAATATATTTTGGCTGTGCAAATTACTAAAAGCATAACACTTCTGTTGGGAACCATATTAATAACAAAGCAGGCAGGAGTTGGCCGACTAAAAGTCAAGGCCACTGATTTGAAATATGAAGTGGAGCATACCGAGGCTCAAGAAATGTGGCTGTCCGCTCATCATAAAGGTACTTTGCAAACTTATCAGGCCCACTGTTTCTTTTGTTTATAATTTAAATTGGGCAAAGTACAACTTACCAGAAGAATGCACGTCTTTCTTAAACAAAAAGTTGGTTGCATGGTGATTCACAGTGCATGTATATGTTTGTGGATTGTGCCAATCTTCTCCACTGATGGTCAAACTACAGTCCTTCTGGAATGTCCCATCAGGGAGAGGCACTAGAGACGAACAGTTTGGGATGGAATTGAGTTTCTCTCCTTTGATGCTCCACTGAATATCTATGGTTTTGGGGTAGAAGCCGGTAGCAAAGCAAACAAGTTTTGGATAGCCCTTGTCCTCAACAGTGTGGAATGCCATCACTCGTGGAGAAGTGGGTTTCAGGAAATCTGAAAAGAAACGGTTGATTTTGGGGTTGTGCAATATAATCAGGACCGGGTGAGTTTAATACATATGGTTAAATAGCGATAATCTAGATAGATCAGCAACGTTTGATACCCAGCTTTTATTTGATAGGAGGGGCCATGACCTTTAGTGATTTCAAATTATGGAGACTTCTTTCCAATTGGAAACCCATTTGTGGATGGTCATCAAGAGAAGATTGCAATATGTGAACAGCCATCTCTGCCCAAACACCACTGATGGAGCTATCTGACCAACAGTGTTACTTTGAAATGTGAGACTTTTCAATAGAGGACATTCAGTAGCTCCTTATGAGTTGTAAATATTGAGTTTTCACACATTTTATCTGTGGTTAAGAAGTGCAGCTGAGAAACTTGATTCTGCAAGTTTCTTCACTACCGTATGTGATTGACATAGTAATTTTCACTGAGCAGAATTAAAAACTTTGGTTCCATTCCTGGCTGACCAAGAATTTTCCAGCACCAAGACTTACCATACAAATATTTACTGATGCTCTTCATGATAGTTAGGGATTCATGTCCCACTAGGCATGTATACACAGCTCTGTTTTCCCATTCAGATGCTGGGACTTTCAGGACACTTTGAGTAGAAAAAGTGGACTTTCCAGTTTCAAGCATGGATGGGCCTATGATATACTCAGAGGCATCTATACTGCTGTTGTTCTTCTTCCATTTGACGAGTATCTCAGATGGGAAGAATCCGCTGATCACACAAGTCAACCAGGCAACAGCTTGGGAGGTAGGTTGTGTCAATTGTGATAGTGGTGGAAGAACCAAGGAGAGAGATGGTACTTTAATGTGGCTGAAATCTATGCAAAATGAAGATAGAGATGGAAATATGGATAAGGGTATTTTTTTTTTAAAGTGAAAGAAAAAGAAAGGTTGGAATAAATAAATCTCATTGATGATACCGTAAGGATGGTGCATTCATGATATTTAATCTTCATGATTTTGAACTTTTGAATGTTTTTAATTGGGGGCCACCCATTTTCTGAAGCATATGAAACCAAAGATGTGGAAATCATTCTCTGATAATTGGTCCAGAGAATTATTCTCCATTTCTCCACAATTTTCAGGGGCAAAGCAAATCCCAATGGTGCTTTTTTCAAAAGGCAGCTGTACTTGCTTTGTTTTTCCTTGAAGATGTCTCACTTTTCATCCAAGAAGCTTCTTCAGTTCTGACGGAATGTGGAGAATATTCCTTGCAGTCATCTGGTCATTAGCACTCTTTCTGAGAGTCGTTGAGGCCACTTGGAGGTTTATCTGTGCCCTGAATAGTGCAAATGGGAATAAGAATATTTTCCCATTTGCAAGGAATCCTTCCATCCTCAAAACTGAAGAAGCTTCTTGGATGAGAAGCTAAATGTCTTCGAGGAAAAACTCCAACACTGGAAGTTTTAAAGAAGAGATTGGACAACTATTTGTGTGAAATGGTATAGGGTTTCCTAGCTGAGCAGCAGGTTGGACTAGAAGACCTCCAAGGTCCCTTCCAACTATTCTATTCTATTCTATTCTATTCTATTCTATTCTATTCTATTCTATTCTATTCTATTCTATTCTATTCTATTCTATTCTATTCTATTCTATTCTATTCCACTCCATTCCACTCCACTCCACTCTACTCTATGTACTCTAATTCTCTTCTCTTCTCTTCTCTTCTCTTCTCTTCTCTTCTCTTCTCTTCTCTTCTCTTCTCTTCTCTTCTCTTCTACTCCACTCCACTCCACTCCACTCCACTCCACTCTACTCTATCTACTCTAATTCTCTTCTCTTCTCTTCTCTTCTCTTCTCTTCTCTTCTCTTCTCTTCTCTTCTCTTCTCTTCTCTTCTCTTCTCTTCTCTTCCACTCCACTCCACTCCACTCCACTCCACTCCACTCCACTCCACTCCACTCCACTCCACTCTATCTACTCTAATTCTCTTCTCTTCTCTTCTCTTCTCTTCTCTTCTCTTCTCTTCTCTTCTCTTCCACTCCACTCCACTCCACTCTACTCTACGCTATGTACTCTAATTCTCTTCTCTTCTCTTCTCTTCTCTTCTCTTCTCTTCTCTTCTCTTCTCTTCCCTTCCACTCCACTCCACTCCACTCTATCTACTCTAATTCTCTTCTCTTCTCTTCTCTTCTCTTCTCTTCTCTTCTCTTCTCTTCTCTTCTCTTCTCTTCTCTTCTCTTCTCTTCTCTTCTCTTCTCTTCTCTTCCCTTCCCTTCCACTTCACTCCACTCCACTCTACTCTACTCTACTCTACTCTAGCTACTCTAATTCTCTTCTCCTCTCCTCTCCTCTCCTCTCCTCTCCTCTCCTCTCCTCTCCTCTCCTCTCCTCTCCTCTCCTCTCCTCTCCTCTCCTCTCCTCTTCTCTTCCCTTCCCTTCCACTCCACTCCACTCTACTCCACTCCACTCCACTCCATCTACTCTAATTCTCTTCTCTTCTCTTCTCTTCTCTTCTCTTCTCTTCTCTTCTCTTCTCTTCTCTTCTCTTCTCTTCTCTTCTCTATTCCATTCCATTCCATTGCAAAACAAAGAAAGTACAGTTGCCTTTCGGGGGAAAAAAGGCACATTTGAGGCAACCTGGATGATTGAGAATCTCTGTAGACATTCGGGCAAGCCAAATATTTCCCCCTGATCTCTTTGAGGCCTTCCTTGTTGAATCTTCTCTCACCTGTGTTTTTTTGGATGCTCCGCTTCACCTCAGGGAAAAGTGAGCAGCGATGAGAAATGCTGCATTCAATTTTCTTTCCAGAATCCCAGATCTGACTGGTGAGTTTAAGCTGGCTTTGGAAACTTTGGGTCCGATTTGGGTGTCTCTTGATTTTTTCTGTGGTGGCATTTGTGGTGAGGTTAAGTCCGTTCATCATCCAGGTGAGCATCACGTTCTCCAGTTCATAGCCCACCACAAGGCAAGTCAAGGAAGCTCTCTTTTGGGTGAAAAGCCTCTCCAGGGGGGGTTTGAGTAGAAAAATTGTGGGAGGTGGTATACTGTTCTTACAAGCTACAAGAGGGCAAATGACAAACATTTTACGATGGGCAGAATAAAATAGTAAAAAAAGATCATATGGAGGAGCAAAACACTATACAGGCAGTCCTTGACTTACAGCTGTTCATTTAGTGACCATTTGAAGTTACAACAGCACTCAAAAAAGTGACGTACGGCCATTTTTCATAGTTGTGACCATTGCAGCATCCCTATCATCAAACGATGAAAATTTGGACACTTGGCAACTGCTTCATATTTATGACAGTTGCAGCCTCCTAGGGTCACGTGATCCCCTTTGGGGAACTTCTAAGAAGCAAAGTCAATGGGGAAGCCAGATTCACTTAACAACGCTGTTGCTAACTTAACAACGGCAATGATTCGCTTAACAACTGTGGCAAGAAAGGTCATAAAACAGGGCAAAACTCACTTAACATCTATGTTGCTTAGCATCAGAAGTTTTGGGCTCAGCTGTGGTCATGAGGACTCCCTGTAGGAAGTATTGAACAAGCGTTGAGGAAAGCAAGAAGAATCAGCCCAATCAGCAACAAATTGGAACATTTCACTCTATACAGGAAGTCCTTGACTTATAATTTAATTGAACCCAGAACTGTGGTCATAAATCTTTGCAGTCAAAAGGCAAAGCATTGTGTGGCCAACTTGATTTTCTGGCTGTTTTCTGCAAAGCTTGTTGAGTAAGTGTCATAGTCATTAAACAAGTATATTTTCCCCAGTGGGAGTTTTTTAAATAGAAAACTGGAAGTCAGTGCCAGAAACTGGCAAAAAAAGTCCCAAATTGCAGTCACATAACCCCAGGTATCTCAGTGTTTTGCTGTTGTTTTTACTCACTGTTTATCCATTATCGCCAATGTTATAAGCCTAACTCTTTGCTTCTTAACTATACGGGAAGATGGATTCTCCTATCTATTGACTGGGGTCATGTGCCCCCCCAGGAAAATGGCAGTAAAGGTGAGTCAGTTGCCAAGTGCCCAAAATGTTCTGTGGCTGTCAAAATTCTGAAAATGGGTTGTTAAGTAGCTTTTGGGGGAGGACCATTGTAGCTCTGAAGAGTTGCTAAGCGATTGGCTGTAAATCAAGGACTAGCTATAGTCAAACACTTTTCTTTCCAATTGAGTCATTATTACATTCTGGGATCAATTCAATGTAATTTTCTGGCGTTATGATCATCTTTTTTTAAAGGTGCTACCAAGACTCAAAGGAAGAAGGAAAACAAAATAAGAGAACATGAAGTTATGTTCCAGACAGAAATATGTTAAGAGACAGAGAATGAATGGACAGACAGAATAAGTCAAAAAGGAGAGGGACAGAAAAAGAAAAGAAAAAGAGAGGGAGAGAAAAAGAAGAGAGAGAAAGAAAAAAAGAGAGAGAAATAGAGAGAGAGAAAGAGAAAGAGAAAAAGAGAAGAAAAGAAAGAGACAGAGGGAGAGAGAGAAGAACGAAAAAAGAAAAAGAAAGAGAAAGAGAGAGAGAAAGAAAAAGAAAGAAAGAGAGAGAAAGAAAAAGAGAGAAAGAGAGAGAGAAAGAAAAAAGAAAAAAGAGAGAAAGAAAGAGAAAGAGAAAAAAAAAGAGTGAGTAAGAGAGAATCACCTTTGCATTTGCTGATACTTCTTGTCTCTGTGTGGTTTCTTCCAGCTTGAGTTACTTTGCAGGTATATTCTTTGAGCTTGTTCCATTCTTGTAGGGATACTGTGAAGTTGCTGCTAGTGTAGAATTGGACACTATTTGACCGATCCTTTGGTAACGTTTGAAATTTCCCATCTGGTTCCCAGGTGACTTGGATGTTCTCTAAGGAGTTGCTATAGATGGAACAGACTAAGGTCACACTACTGATGGCTCCTAAACTTGGACAGAGTGGATGGACATTCAGAGTCACCATGAGAGACATGGGCCTAACCCAGCCTAAAGAAACAGAAAGAGAAGCGTCAATTTTATTCAGGTTTATTTTGTAGGAAAATGAAGAATATGAGGTCTACAAAAATAGAGTCAAGGAGAGAATGAACCAGTTCTCTCTCTTAAAATGTTAATGGAGTAATGAAGTTGTAGAACTCTTATTTAGCCTTCCCTTGTATCTCGGTGTTTTGCTATTGTTTGTAACCCACTTTTTATCCATCATCTCCAACATTATAAGCCTAACTCTTTGCTTCTTAACCATACAGGAAGATGGATTCTCCTGTCTTTTGCCTTGGCCAAGTCTCATTTCATTAGATGAAAGAGTATTTGCTTGAGAGAAACAAGAATTTTGGAGAATCTCCTGGGTGTGATATGGTGGTCTTACATGTATTTAATTGCAGAATGGGCTGAGAACTGTGTCTGAATGTTGCAACTTTCCTTGTACAAATAATCTTCCTTGGATTTCTGTGCTTGCATGGAAGAGCTGTCTTTGGATATTTTTCCAGGGGGCACAGTTATCATTAATAAGAGGAGCCTTGTTCATGAAAAACCTGCTGGAGAATTTCTCCATCCCTTGGAAAAGTCTTCTACTGAATCTGTTTGGCCAGAAAAGTGGCAGAGAATTTAGAAAGAGCATTGGTGGCTTTAAATGAGCCGTGGCGGCGCAGTGATTATAATGCAGTACTTCAGGCTACTTCTGCTGACTGTCAGCTGCCTGCAGTTCGATTCTGATTGGCTCAAGGTTGACTCAGCCTTCCAACATCGGTAAAATGTGGACCCAGATTGTTGGGGGCCATAGTCTGACTCTGTAAACCACTTACAGAGGGCTGTAAAGCACTATGAAGTGATATATAGGTCTAAGTGCTATTGCTATAAATTTCCCCCTTAGCCCTTCATGGTCCATATACAGTAGTATTGTGGTTCTTTCAGAATTAATTGTCCTGTCCTACTAACTTCTCTATTTTTTTTAAGAGTGCAGTACAATCATAATAATCTTATTATAATTTGTATAGCAATAAATAAATTATCCATTGTCGGCTTGTTGGGCCTGTCACAACTTCACCAGAGCTCCCTTAGCCAGGCTATTTCAGGGTGACCCAGAATCTCAACTAACAATGGTTAAGGCCATCAGAAGAGCAGGAACCAAAACTTTGTATCTCCCTTAATACCCAAAGCAGTCAAAGAGGAGGAGGAGGAGGAGGAGAAAGAAGAAGAAGAGAAATAGGAAGATGAGAATGAGGAAGAAGAAGAAGAGGAGGAGGAAGAGGAGGAGGAGAAAGAAGAGGAAGAGGAGGAGGAGGAAGAAGAGGAAGAGAAAGAGGAAGAGAAAGATGAGAAGGAAGAGGAAGAATAGGAGGAAGGGGATAATGATGACGAGGAGGAGTGCAATCCAGGCACACAGTATTCAGAAGAAAGCCCCAGTTTACATCCAGTAAGTGAGAAGGAAAAGATTGGAGCATGAAACATCCAATTAAAAGATGGACCTCAGACATTCTAGCTTTGCTGCTCCATCTCACCTTTTCTGGAGATCTTCTGGACCTGTTTTGTATTCGTTGGTTGGTGTACCACCTCACAACTATTGTTGTCCATTTTTTGCCATTGGGAGATGGGGATGGTAAGTTGGCTGCTGGCCCAGTAGGTTCCATCTGCCATCTTCCTGACCACAGTGTCTTCCTTCTTATTTTGTGGCCCACCCATCCACTTGATGGTGACACTTGGGGGTCTGTAATTAGATGCGATGCATTTCAACATCACGGTGTCCTTCACCTGATCTACAGACTGCAGGAGTTCCACCGTAGGTGCTTGAGGCTCCAGGAAATCTGTAAAGAGACTGTGATCATCAGGAGCCATAATCAAAGTAGAGGAAGGGACATATCGTAAGGTGCATTAGGGTGACATCAAAAAATAAGTTACCTGTAATAAGCAAATGGATCTCCCTGGAGTGTAAATAAAAGAATTGGAGATATTCTTCAAGAAGCAAATGAGGGCTGTATGAATCTTCCCGATGTAGGCTCTTTGCTGTACGATGGGAATGTGATGCTGATGGAGATTGTGTCTGAGCATGTCTAGAATAATTGGGCACCAAGTGCTAGAAGAAGCAACCAGCAGTACCTCAACTAGAACTAATTTTTTTTAAAGTTTGCCAATGAAATTAGACTTGTGTGCCTGAAATGTAAAAACTACTGGAAACATTGAAATCATATAATTAAAAATAAAAAAACAATCCTTTTTTCCAGGGACAAAAATCATGCAAAGTTGAAATGCATGCAATGATTTCCTCCTGAACCCATATTTAAAATCTACAATTATTTATCTGATTTCTTTCTTTTACTTTCTAGATGATGTTTTTAGCTTAGCCAGGGCTTGCTTGCCCAGTTTTTACGCACATATTAGATTGCCTAATGTAAACACCCACAGTATATGTCTCTTAAAGTCATAGCAGGATACTTGTTTGCATAACCAGAGGAGAGAAAAGTCTAATCACCTCAGTGGGTAAAAAAGAAAGAACGGTAAATGTATGATATAACTTCAAATATCTTAGTCTAGGACAGAGTTCACCAGAAGCATCCAAACCAGTGGTTCTCAACCTTTTTGATGCCGCGACCCCCAACCGGTCTTAAGTCGAGGACTAAACTGGTCATAAGTCGAGGACTAGACCGGTCGTAAGTCAAGGACTATCCAACCGGTCGTAAGTCGAGGACTTTCCCTGCCCGGGAGCGCCACGCATGCATGGTGCCGCCCCCTGTGCAGGCCGAGGTGTAGCTGGCAAGGGACAGAGATGGAGCAGGCCGACCACTGGAAAAGGGTAAAAAAAATGGCAGACAGCCTTGCTTGGCGACCCCCGTGAAATGGTCGATCGACCCCAAATGGGGTCGCGACCCATAGGTTGAGAACCGCTGATCCAAACAGATATTAATCAACTATGGAAGTGGTTGTTCTTCTCCTTAAATATATGTTAGGCTTAAGTGCTATATGTATAAACATGTTAATGTATAGACATGGTAATCTGATGCACTAGATCTGGGGTGTCAAACTCGCAATGTCACATGACATGTCGCGACATATCGTGACTTTTTTTCCATTGCCGGCAATGGGGTGGACACGGTTTCGCATCCAGCCCATGGGCCGGCAATTTGACACCCCTGCACTAGATGTTTATATGGTAACAAGGGAGTGAATACAGCATTTTCCAAAGCATTTGAGACATTAACAAAATAAAATAGTACCACCTAATGTTTTGCTTGGGATAGGAAGCTAAGCAGGATCAGGCCTGGTTAATATTTGGAAGGGGACACATGTGAAGAATTCCTAATGGAAGAGGATATTTGTGGCTCAAGTTTGAATTGCAGAGTCCTTGATGCTCTCTGAGCTGGTGGTTTTCTTGCAGACATTTTATCTCATTGGTGGTAAAGGGAGAGGGGTTTATGGAATGGGGGAAAGTGAAGTGGGTGGTGGCGGTGGTGGTGGTGGTGGTGGTGGTAGTGGAGGAGGAGGAGGAGGAGGACTGTGGGGTCATTGATGCTCTCTCCTGTGAGTTGTTTCCTTGCAGATGTTTCATGATCCAACCAGAGAACATCAGTGGTGGAAGGTAAGGGTTTGTGGAGTGGAGGAGAAGGAGAAGGATGATGATGATGATGATGATGAGGAGGAGGAGGATGATTGTGAGGTCCTTGGTGCTCTCTGAGCTTGGTTGTTTTCTTTCAGACATTTAATTACCAAATTAGGTAACATCATCAGTGCTGGTGATGCTGATGATGGTAATGAAACATCTGCAAAAAAGCCATCAAGCTCAGAGAGTATCACGTTTCCAAAGTTGGAGAATTCCAGAACTGAGAGCAAAATTGGGGAGCTGAAAACTTCCCAGGAAGAAGTGGCACCCAACCACTTCTGGACTGCTGCCAAGAAGACATCATGGACTTGGTTCTTGAAATCAGCAGAAGCTAAGTGTTGACTTGAAGAAAGCGTCCTTTTACTTTATTATCTCAGGTGAGTCCCCCAAAATGTCAACATTTTCCAATAGAAGAAAAGTGAAACAAAAACCAACCAACCGACCAAACAAAAAACCCCTCCCCTCTTTTGGTTATTTTCCCCCCACCCCTTCCTCCGATAATTCTTCAGGCCAAAAATATGAACCGTTTCTTCAGAACGGACAGAAATGAGGCATGGTTGTGTGAATGTTCCATCAGTGGTGTTGGATTCAGATGGCTGTTTCACATTATTAGGATCATTTGCACAATGAATACACAAGCATGAACTAGCCCATGTCCCTTCTTAATACTATTTGCACTGCTGATGGAATTGAGGGTTAAAGTTTTAGATACGATGAAATTTATTTTACCAAGCATTTTACTGAACCAACTCTGATTTCCATGTCTTACCCTTGTGGAAGTACCCTGGGTATGCTTAAAAATATTAGAATTGATTGATATATTTATACATATTTGCTTAACTCCAGATGATTATTGCTCTTAACCTTGGTGCCAATGGTTGCAGGAATTGGGTACATTTGTTTAATGAAAAGAAGGACTAAGGCTGATATGATAGCAGTCTTCCAATATCTAAGGGGTTGATATAAAGAAGAGGGGTCAACCTCTTTTCCAAAACACCTCAAGGCAGGACAAGAAGTAACAGATGGAAATTAATCAAGGAGAGAAGCAACCTGGAACTAAGGAGAAATTTCCTGACAGTGAGAACAATTACTCAGTAGAAAGACTTGCCTCCAGAGGTTGTGGGTGCTCCAACACTGGAGGTTTTAAAGAAGAGGTTGGACAAGCATTTGTCTGAAATGTTATAGTGCTTCCTACGTGAGCAGGAGGTTGGACTAGAAGACCTCCAAGGTCCCTTCCAACTCTATTATTCTGTTATATAGCTGCACTCAGAGAGGCAGATTACATTCAAAGTTGGTGTTCCACTAATCACAGTAGAGAAAAATGTGCAACAGCAAGTTCAGCAGCTGTTTCTGGACTCTGGATAGCATTACACAACTGGATGTAATGGCTTTGCTGGAAAAGGAAGGACTAAATTCTTGCAAGATCTCGTAAGATGCTCTTGCAATTTGGTACAAAATTTTGATGAAGATTTGGATAATTTTGAGGGGAAAGGACTCTATCAGGACAGTGGTTCTCAACCTGTGGGTCGGGACCCCATTTGGGGTCGAACGACCATTTCACGGGGTCGCCAAACAACGCAGTCCGCCATTTTCCCCCCCTTTTCCTTAGCTGTGCTACTCCCTTTTATTCTATTGAATAGAGTCTAATTCTATTGGCTTTCAAAAGCCAATAGGAATTGTCCAGGCTGTCTCTGCCCTGCTGAGCCCGCCAAAAGTCCCATTCTGCAAACGGTGCTGCACCAGTTGAGTAGTCCTCGACTTATGACCAGTTGGGGGTCGCGGCATTAAAAAGGTTGAGAACCACTGCTATCAGGACCAATATGCATTTTCTGCTGCTCCATAATATACATTTTCACCTGGGCTCCTCAGAATAATAACCATGTAGCACCGTAAATAATAATATTTTTCAGTAACGGGGTCCTTCTTTCCGTTAATGGACTTGCCTCTGAGCTGTGCTCAACTAAAGGATGTTTGTGATCTATGAGCTTTTTAACCCTTTACAGCGAAGAATCTCTTGCAGAAGATCCACGCTCGCCATGTAACTCATAGTGATGCCTCCAGCGACATCCTTAGAAGGTCCACTTACCAATGGGTACTTTTTCATAGGCCGTGTACGGAGTTTGAGAAGCAGGATGGTGGACTATACAGCTGTAGCTCCCTCCTTTTCCTCCGGGTTCATCTCTGCTGATTTTTAAGATGCTATAAATGGAGTACCCGTTTGCTGTCTCCGTGGCGATCCCATTATCGTACAGTTTTTCATCCAGGGATACGTTATTTCTTTCCCACGAGATGCTAATCTCCTCTGGGGAAAATCCACTCACGTCACAGATGAGAATGAGGGCAGTGGTGCTCTTGAGGGAAATCTCTAGCGGGGCACGGGAAATGATGACGGAGGGCGCTTGCATTTCTAAATTGAAAAAGAAAAGAAAAATGTGCAGGCTTTTTAAAAACAGAAAACAGTATGGTGCATATATTTTTGACAATACCGTATATGCTGGCGTATAAGACGACTTCCGGAAGCGCTAAACTCGGCGCCAAAGGCGGGGGTCGTCTTATACGCCAAGTCGTCTTATACTGGTAGTTTCCGGCGTATAAGACGACGTTCTAGGAACGCGGCTCGGCGATAAAGACGGGGGTCATCTTATACGCCGGGTCGCCTAATACGCCAGCATATACGATACTCATAATCGTAGTGTTCCTCTAATTCAGGGGTTTTCAACCTTGGCAACTTGAAGACTTGTGGACTTCAACTCCCAGAATTCCTGGCTGAGGAATTCTGGGAATTGAAATCCATAAGTCTTCAAGTTGCCAAGGTTGAGAACCCCTGCACTAATTTGTCTGTTTTGGTGTAATTCGGCATTGAGGTGACCTTTTGAGTTAGTCTGGACTCCTGGTGACAAGAGGAAGAGGTCCATGCTTTAACCCCCCCCCAGATTGAGGAGTCCCTTTCATACCCTAATCACCTTCTGGCTTGACTACTGCAACTGGGGCAATCCTTGAAGACCACTGGGAAGCTTCAAGTGGTCTAGAATGCAGTGGCTCAAACAATAATGGGCGTGGCTCAGCATGCCCATGTAATCTCAGCTTTCTGAGCAGCAAGGATTGACAAATTGCTTCCAGTTGCAAATTCAATGTGCTGGTGATTATCTATAAAACTCTCATGGATTACTTGAGGGACCACCTTTCTCCCTTAGCATCCACCTGGCTAATTCAAACATATAAGGTTGGCATATTTTGAGTTCCTTTGATTAAACATCTCACAGGGCCCTGGAAGAATGAGTCCTCTACAGCACCACCTGTCACCAAATCTGGTTGCATAACAGAATAACAAAGTTGGAAGGGACCTTGGAGGTCTTCCAGTCCAACCTCCTGCTCAGACAGGAAACCCTATACCAGGGGTAGGCAACCTTAGCTCTTTTATGACTCGTGCACTTCAACTCCCAGAATTCCTGAGCCAGCCATGCTGAAGGAAAGGGAGAGGTTGAGCCATGCTGACTCAGGAATTCTGGGAGTTGAAGTCCACGAATCATAAAAGAGCCAAGGTTGCCTACCCTTGCCCTATACCAGGGGTAGGCAACCCAAAACACTCAAAGAGCCACTTGGACCCACCGAAAACAAAACACTGGGAGCCGCAAAACCCTTTTGATATCTAAAATGAAGATAACACTGCATATATCCTTTTTTACCTTTTATTTATATATATATAAAGGTAAAAAGGGATATATGCAGTGTTATCTTTATTTTAGATGTCAAAAGGGTCTCTCTGTCTCTGTCTCCCTCTCTCTCTTTCTGCCCTTGATCTGCCAGTTCCCCCACTCTTTTTCTTTCTCTCTCTCTCTCTCTTTCCTCTCTCTCTCTCTCTTTCTCTCCCCCCTCCCTCCCTCTCTCCGATCTTCTGCTCACCTGGCAAGCTGGTTTCAAGCTGTTCTCCAACAAGCTCAGGGATAGGCAACCTTGGCTCTTTTATGACTCATGGACTTCAACTCCCAGAATTCCTGAGTCAGCATAGCTGGGCTACCTAGCTCTCTCCTGCCCTTCCTGCTTCCTGTTTCATGCAGAGATGCAGCAAAGGGAGGAGCCGTGCCCAATAAGCTTTTCAGCTCCTCGGAGAACACCGTGAGTCCACTCTCTTTTATACACACACCACACACACACACACACACACACAGAGACACACAAACACAAAGAGACAGAGAGAGAAGCAGGAAAGTGCAAGTGCCTCTCCCTGTCCCCCCCCTCTGCAAATGGCAGAGGAGGCTGAGAGCCACAGGGGAAGGCTCAAAGATTCGCATTCAGCTCCGGAGCCGCAGGTTGCCGACCTGTGCCCTATACTATTTCAGACAAACATTTGTCCAATCTCTTCTTAAAAACCTCCAGGGATGGAGCACATACAACTTCTGAAGGCAAGTCATTCCACTGATTAATTGTGCTAACTGTCAGGAAATTTATTCTTAGTTGTAGGTTGGTTTTCTGCTCGATTAGTTTCCGTCCCACTGTACTACTGTTTAGAAGAGATGTGAAGACCTGGGTCGTCTCTCAGGCCTTTGGCAGGGAAGATTGATATCCTTTGATTGATTGTACTTTTCATTTTTTATCTTAATCTTTTACTGGCTTTAGAGCAGTTTCTTTGAATGATTGTTGGGAGCTGCCCCAAATTATTGAAAGTTGGGTGGCATGCAGCTTTACCATTAACATCATGGAAGTGATTTTCCAAAATCTTTTTCCTACCACAAAGAGTGAGTGACTGGCCCACAGGCACACAACTGGCTTTCTTGATTAACAACTAGAGTGTCCCCTGTCTAAGTCCAGTCTTTTTAACTGGTTATCATTGCTAATTTAAGTCCTGGTTTCTGTCCCATTCTTCTCTTTCCCCAAATCTAACCAATCAGTAATTTCACAGTCAAGTGCATACAGAGAGACAAGCAAAAAACATGTCGTGTGCAAGGCCATCATTTGAACTCTGCCACTTTTGCACATGTGTTGCAATGTCCAAGCATGCACATAAAGGTGGTGGGGCTTGGGTGATGACATCACAACTCCTGGGTCCTGCTGACCAAGGTTCAGTGGACACCCGTGTGCAAGGTCATCATTTGAACTCTGCCACTTTTGCACATGTGTTGCGATGTCCAAGCATGCACATAAAGGGGGTGGGGCTTGGGTGGTGACATCACAACTCCTGGGTCCTGCTGACCAAGGTTCAGTGGACACCCCTGTGCATGGGAAATATGATGATCTTCTAGTACTGAACTGCCATTCCAATCTGGCTGTATCCTATCACAGACAGCCAAATATTATAGACAATAATGCTTGAGGCACCACTGTGATTGCACAAACTTTTTTTTTTTGCCTTTTAATTATATAAAAGAGTCTGCCTTTTTCTCCTGGTAAAGCAACAAGGCAGGATATTTATTTCATTTTTTTTAAGGGAAATTTAAGAACAGGGAAGATGTTACATCCTGCTCTAAGCTAGGGGAAGAATAGAAATTATTTTAGAAGGATGTAGTTGTTTTTTTTTAAAATGTATTTCTATCTTGTATCCCATCTTTCCTTCAGGAACCCTAGGTACCGTGTTTTCCCCAAACACGTATCCCATCTTTCCTTCAGGAACCCTAGGTACTGTGTTTCCCCCAAAATAAGGCCGGACAGGAAAATAAGACCTAGCATGATTTTTCAGGACACTCTTAATATAGGCCCCACCCCAAAAATAAGCCCCAGTTAAGATTCTCAGCCAGACAGATGCATTTAGTACCGTATTTTCCCAAATATAAGCCCTAACTGGAAAATAAGCCCTAATGCATCTTTTGGAGCAAAAATGAATATAAGACCTGGTCTTATTTGTGGGGAAACATCGTCACTTACATGGGAATTCTTATATCTATAAAAATAACAGTCTATGGATCCCGTCAGTCAAGGAATTCTGGCTGAGGGGTCCAGGAAGGGAGCCTTTTCTGTTGTGGTTCCATCCCTGGAACACTGTACCCCCAAAGGTGAGATCTGCCCCCATGCTCTTCAACTTCTGAAAGGGCCTGAAAAACTGGCTCTTCATGAGGCTCCAAGGGGACATATCAGATTGAAAGTGGTTAATGGACTGAGAGAAGATCCCACCTCCTCATTGTGTGCATTTTGCTCCCTTTGTTATTTTTTAAGTCAATGTTAGTGCTAATATTTATTTAATATGTTATTGTATTGCTTTTATTGGTTGTAAGCTACGTAGTCATCTCTTGGTGAGATGGGTAGCATATAGCTACCCATATAGCAATAGCATTAATATTTATATACTGCTTCATAATGCTTTACAGCTCTCTCTAAGCAGTTTACAGAGTCAGCATCTTACCCCCAACAATCTGGGTCCTCATTTTACCAACCTCGGAAGGATGGACGGCTGAGTCAACCTCGAGCTGGTGTGAATCGAACTGCTGGCAGTTAGCAGAGTTAGCCTGCAATATTGCATTCTAACCATTGTGCCACCACTACTGCGCTAAAGAAACAAACAACACATCGAGGTAGGCTGGTCCAGAGTTACCATATGAGCTTTAAGGCTGGGGGTGACCTTGACTTTTCCCAATCATTGTCTAAACCTTTCACAGTGCCTCTCAAGATGTGTTTCTGCATATCTCATGTGTGAAACTTCTCTATTTGGTAGAAGATTGGATCTGAAGAAGTCTCCCTCAGTCAATTCTTTAGCTCTAATTGTTCTTTTGAGATAGTTGCATCAGAAAACGTCTGTTTGGGTAGATGTAGGGGTGACCTGATAGCAGTGTTTCAATATTTGAGGCTTCCACAAAGAAGGGGGAGGTCAACCTACTCTGCAAAGCACTTGAAGGCAAGACAAGAAGCAAGGGATAGAAACTAATCAAAGAGAGACCCAACCTAGAACTAAGAAGAAATTTCTGACAGTTAGAAAATTTAATCAGTGGGACGGCTCTCCTCCAGAAGTTGTGGGTGCTCCAACAATGGAAGTTTTTAAGAAGAGATTGGACAACCATTTATCTGAAATGGTGTAGGGTTTCCTTCCTGAGCAGGGAGTTGGTTTAGAACAGTGGTTCTCAACCTGTGGGTTGGGACCCCATTTGGGGTCGAACGACCATTTCACGGGGGTCGCCAAACAACGCAGTTCGCCATTTTCCCCCTACCTTTTCCTTAGCTGTGCTACTCCCTTTTATTCTATTGGCTTTTGAAAGCCAATAGAATAGACTCTCTTGAATAGAGTCTAATTCTATTGGCTTTCAAAAGCCAATAGGAATTGTCCAGGCTGTCTCTCCCCTGCTGAGCCCGTCAAAAGTCCCATTCTGCAAACGGTGCTGCACCAGTTGAGTAGTCCTCGACTTACGACCAGTTGAGTAGTTCTCGACTTACGACCGGTTGGGGGTCGCAGCATTAAAAAGGTTGAGAACCACTGGTTTAGAAGACCTCCAAGGTCCCTTCCAAGAATATTCTATTGTGTTCTGTTCTGTTCTGCTCTGTTCTACTGTAGCAGATGATCAGGCTGAGTCTGAAGGAGGAGTTATGGGACAAGGAACAATGGATAGAAACTAACCAAAGAGAGAACCAACCTAGAACTAAGAAGAAATTTCTGACAGTTAGAAAATTTAATCGGTGGGATGGCTGGCCTTCAGAAGTTGTGGGTGGAGATTTTAAAGATGAGATTGGACAGCCATTTGTCTGAAATGGTATAGGGTTTCCTGCTTGAGCAGTGGGATGGACTAGAAGACCTCCAAGGTCTCTTCCAACTCTGTTATTCTGTTATTCTCTTAGATAAAATTTTCCATCTGTAGATACATTTAAAATATTGTGAGTAGGCTGTACACTGTCAATGCTGCAAATACTGTATATTCTTGCTTTGACAATATGCAAAACTGTCTGGTATTTATTGGGTTAATACTTAGCTTAGAGTGGGGGGGGGAAAGCCCGGGAAAGAAAGAGGAAGTAAACTTTTGACCTTCACACTAATTGGATAATGTGACCTGTGACTGCATGAGAAGGGAGGGGTTTAGCAAGAAAAGCTTGATGCCAGCGAAAGGAAATCAGATTCTGGCATCAACCCGTCCATCATGGTGACCGGCAAAACTGTAGCTCTGCAATAAAGACTTTAGGAAACATGCCTGAAAGTTCTTTGAAGTGCTTCATTAGTCGGAACCTGTGACATACACATTACCCTCCCAGCCATGGTTTTGTGACCTTCAAAAACGTGGAAGGAGACAAAACAGCAAGGAAGGAATAGGTGAATTTGTGAAGATGGGCCATGTAAAAGATTTTGAGCAAGTTGAAAAAGAACTTGAAGAAATTCTAGATCTCTATAGATATGAGAAGAATGCGCTGGTAGCTTTATCACATACACGTTAGCCTAAGATGCAAAAAAACCTAAGAAAAGCAAATTCAGAATCTTTGGAGAAACTCTACTTTAATGAAGTCACTCATATTGTTAGTAGGCTGCACACATCACCCTCTCACCCTCCCTTCTGGCCTTCAAAAATGTGGAAGGAGACAGAATGGCAAGGAAGGAAAAGGTGAATTTGTGAAGACAAATTCCTATCATAACCGCCAAGATTTTTTATTCTTGTTTTGTGTATTAAAACTTTTTATTTTGAAGATACGTGGTTCTTGCTTCCTTGATGGAGCAGTGCCCTAAGGGGCTTGGCGATCTACTCACGAGTAGCCTTCTTGATGGTGATGGCTTCTGTGCGCTCTTCAAAGCAGCCTCCGATTACTTTGCAGGCGAAGATGGTGCCCTTCGTCCATTGTTCCAAAGACACCGAATGGTTACTTCTCAACTTCTGACTTCCATTAGCGTCCGTTGTCACCATCTCAGTCACACCCTCATTGCTGGGCTTGTCATCCACAAGCCAGGTGATCTGAGCACTTTCAAGGTTAGGAGAAATCACGGTGCAGACTAGGACGGCTGACCTATCAAGTAGGCTTCTATAAGATGGCTTGGTAATAAACATGGTGGGCTGAATCATGCAACCGTAGCACACTGTGGAGAAGGCCAGGAGAGAGAGATGACACAAGGATTATAATACTGTTTGAAGATAGAGCTTTTTGCATGAGGAGAAATCTTTAATAATTCATTAACAGTGACATAATTGCTAAGAAGTTGCAAGCCTTAGTAGCTTCATTAAAGATTAAAAAAAAATTCAAGAAAACCGAGTAAGATGCTTGTTGAAAAGCTGCCCATGAAAAGCTCTAATATCAGGGTTGATGTTTATATATTTACATCTAGAATGCTGTATGTTACACCCTGTTGACCCAAATATGGGAGACAGAAATCTTTTGCCTTGTATCAGCTCAAACTAGAGCCATCCACAGGCAGCAGTCACAACTGTGACATCATATACATTTCTAAAATTTGGATTGCTAGCAAAGAGTTAAGGGAGAACTGGAATAGCTATTTCAAACTCTTTTGTTCTTTTCAACCAGACATACCCTTCTGAGATTTGAACCTGGGCTGTCTGCATGTTAGGCAGCTGTATTAAACCTCTAGGCCACAGGCTCTTTCTCACAAAGTGAGAGGTTGGCTTAGAGGTTTAATACAGCTGCCTGACATGCAGACAGCCCAGGTTCGAATCTCAGAAGGGTATGTCTGGTTGAAAAGAACTAAAGAGTTTGAAATAGCTATTCCAGTTCTCCCTTAATTCTTTGCTAGCAATCCAAATTTTAGAAATATTTACATCTATATCTACCTAGTTGTTTGACCAACCACTCACTAAATAACCCAACAAATATTAAAAACCATAAGAAAGTACAACAATAAAATCATGAATTGTACTACCCTGGACAGAATCTACCCTTGCAGACCTCATGTCACTATCCTTGACCCATCTAGCAGGCTGGCCCAGTAGCTAAAGGAAGAACGAGCAGTTAAGAACCTTCTTAAAAGTTGGCATGTAGATTATTTCTACTTTGGCCTATATTCTCTGCCTGGATTTCAAGGAACAAAATAAAATTGAAGCCTGCTACATCAATAAAGGAGAATATTTGTAGCTCAGGGTTGAAATGAGGGGTCCTTGGTGCTCTCTGAGCTTGGTTATTTTCTTGCAGATGTTTCATTACTCAACTAGGTAACCTGATCAGTGCTACCGGTAGTAAGGAGTGGGATTTGCCCTCAGTTTATATTCAGTGTTTGCCAGAATGGTCTTGATGGGTTTTTTTTTGGGGTTGGGTTGTTTACTATTGACTTTTTTGGGCACTTCCTTGATTGGGCTATTATTTACTTGATTGTTGGTCTGATGTTAATCACTGTTAGCAGATGACTAGTACTGATGGTGTTACCTAGTTTAGATAATGTCTGCAAGAAAACAACCAAACTCAGAGAGCACCAAGGAGCCCACCCCCCCTAATATCACATCATTAAGCTAGACCCCAGCTAGATTACATTGCGAAGATCTTGTTAGCAGAACCTTCATAGGTCTCCACGGAGTTCTTTAAAGAGATGCATTTTCATAGATCTACAAAACTATGATAGGGAGGTGGTGGCCTTGAAATCTGTAAGTAGGCTGTGTCTTCAGTTTGAGCATGGGTTCCATGGAGATGGCTTGCCCTTAAATCTTAAGTCAGAAATGGTATAGGATGTCCTGCTCGAGCAGGGGGTTGGACTAGATGACCTACAACGTCCCTTTCAACTCTGTTATTCTGTGTCTAGGATCCTCAGCTGGCCTTCTCTATTAGGTTCCAATGGATGTGCAGATTCATTTTGAAAAAGGTTGTTTTAGGGATATCCAAGCCCTAAATCATATGAGGCTTTAATAATTTAATTTAATTTAATTTAATTTAATTTTTCCAGAAATTAAATGTGGATTCATGCAACTTCTGGAGTAGTAGTTTTATTGGGGTGAACCAAGGTACTTTCATAACTGTTTCAGCCATTGCATGTTGGACCAGCTGATGCTTTTGGATAGTTTTCAAATGCAGCCCTAGGTAGAACATACTGCAAGAATTCAGCTGTAACATGATGAGGTATTATGGATCATCGCACAGTCAGCCAGATGTTCAGACTGGATTTGGCATTTTGTCTACCTATCGAGTCCTTACCCAGGACCTGGGATAGGCAGATGTGGATGTTTGATGGTATTACAGATATCGTCGCAGGATGGAAGCAGTTCCTAGTAAGGCCGCCTTTTGCAATTGACTAATAGCAAATTTGTCAATGCCAATGGTGTTCAAGTGGTGCTCCAGTTGTTTTGGGATTGCACCCAAGGAGCCTATGACTATTGGTACTACCCTTGCTTGCTTTTGCCACAGTCTTTCTATTTCTATTTGTAGGTCTTTGTATTTTGTTATCTTCTCCAGTTCTTTCTCTTCTATTCTGCTATCTCCAGGCACTGCCACGTCCACTATCCAGACTTTTTTGTCTTTCTTATCGACAATTGTTAAGTCTGGGGTGTTATGTTGCAGGTGCTTGTCTGTTTGAATTCTGAAGTCCCAGAGCAGTTTAATTTTATCATTTTCTATGACTTTCTCTATTTTATGATCCCACCAGTTTTTGCTTACAGGCAAATGATATTTTTTGCAGATCTTCCAATGCACCATTGTTGCTACTTTGTCATGCCGCTGCTTGTAATCAGTCTGTGCAATCTTCTTGCAACAGCTTACCAAGTGGTCCACTGTTTCTTCAGCTTCTTTGCATAGGCGGCACTTACTGTCTGTTGCTGTCTTCTCAATTTTGACTTTGTATGCATTTGTCCTTAAGGCTTGGTCTTGTGCAGCCAGAATTAGTCCCTCGGTCTCTTTCTTCAATTTTCCTGCTCTTAGCCATTGCCAGGTTTTATTATTATCTGCTTTCCCAGCTATTTTTTTCATGTATTGGCCATGTAGTGCTTTGTCTTCCCATGCCTCTATTCTGTTCTTCATTTGGTCTTTCTTGTAGGCCAGTTTGGTCTCTCCAGTAGTTAGTAAACCTTCCTGATATACTAATTTCAGTGCATCTTCATCATTGTTCTTCAGATATTCTTCCAAAGCCATTTTTTCTTCTTCAACCATCTGATGTACTTGTAGCATTCCACGCCCACCTATTTGCCTTGGTAGATAAAGTCTATCAATGTCACTGCGTGGATGAAGGGCATGATTCATTGTCATTATTTTTCTGGTCTGCCTATCCATTGCTTTTAGTTCTGCTTGAGTCCAGTCCACTATTCCAGCTGTGTACCTAATGACTGGGATTGCCCAGGTGTTGATTGCCTTTATGGTATTTCCTCCATTGAGTTTGGACTTTAAGATCTTCTTCACTCTCTTGATGTATTCACCTCTAATCTTTTTCTTGACTTCAGTGTGCTTGATGTTGTCAGCTTGAAGGATACCCAAGTATTTGTAGTACTCTTCCTCATCCAGACTCTTAATGTTATTTTCGTGGGGCATCTTGATTCCTTCAGTTTTCACTATTTTTCCTTGTTTGATAGTAAGTGTGGCACATTTGTCCAAGCCAAACTCCATTACAATATCTTGGCTATATATACGGACAGTGTTGAGCAGCGATTCTATTTCAGATGATGTTTTTCCATACAGCTTCAGATCATCCATGTAGAGGAGGTGGGATAGTCTAGCAGATGTTTTTGATGTTTGATAGCCATGTCCTGAGTTATTCAGTATTGTTGACAGAGGAAACAGTGCAATAACAAATAGTAATGGTGATAATGAATCTCCTTGAAATATTCCTCTCTTGATATTAACCTCTCCCAGCTTCTCACCATTGATCTGCAACTGTGTCTTCCATTGTGCCATCGATCTTTGCACAAATTTTCTGATGTTTCTACTGACTCCTGTTATTTCTAGGCACTTTATTATCCAATCATGTGGCAGAGAGTCAAATGCCTTTTTGTAGTCAATCCATGCCACATTCAGGTTGGTCTTCCTTCTCTTGCAGTTTTCCAAGATCATTTTGTCTATTAGGAGTTGATCTTTTGTTCCTCTGCTATTGGGGCGGTTTCCTTTCTGCTCAGGTGGAAAGAGATTGTTTTCAACTAGATGCTGTTGCACTGCATCAGCTACTACACCAGTTAGTAATTTGAAAGTTGTTGGTAAGCAGGTAATTGGCCTGTAGTTACCTGGTGTTGCCCCTTTTGCTGGATTTTTCATTATTAGGTAGGTTTTCCCAGTTGTTAGCCACTTTTCAATTTCTCCTCCTTGTAGTATATTGTTGAACTGCTTGGCAATGAGTGGGTGTATAACAGTTAGATGTTTCAACCAAAACCCATGCAGTTCATCTTCACCTGGTGCTGACCAATTTTTGATTTTCTTTGCTCTTTTTTCTACCATTTTTGTTGTTATTACTAGTTCTTTCATTTCAACTTCTGTTTTATTTGCATCCACCTCTTTTAACCAAGCCGCATCCTTGTTGTATTTCTTTGGGTTATCCCATATCTGCTTCCAGAACTGCACTGTTTCTTCCTTGTCAGGTACTGACTGATTCCTTGCAGTTTCTCCATTGATGGATTGGTAGAAACGTTTCTGATTGGATTGAAATTGGAGGTTCTGCCTATAGTTTGCAATTCGAGCTTCATATCTACTGATTTTCCTGGCTATAGCTGTTAGTTGTTGCTTTATTATTTCAAGTGCTTCCTTGATCTTCCTTGTTTCTAAGTGGTATTTCTTGATTAGGTATTCTTTGGTCTTCTTGTTCTTCAGTTTCTTTTCTTTCATCTGTTCTAGCTTGCTTGCATGTGATCTTAACTTGCTGATCTTATTTTCTAGTCTAACCTTCCATTTTTGTGGTGCATTGTTTGTGTGTTTTTCTTCTTTGTTGATTTTGCATCCCAGGTATTCAGTTATAACTGCAGCTGTGCTGTACATTAGTTGGTTTGTTTCTTGCAGTGAATTGGTGCTTATACTTGCTATTGCAGTATTTGCATCTTTTAATGCTTGTGATAGCTGTTTCTTTGAAACAAGCTTCAATGCAGGCAGCCTTATTCTGTTGTTTTTGTGCTGTTCTAGATGCTCAGTTATTCTTTGACTAGATGATCTCCAAGCTCCCTTCCATTATTATTATTATTATTATTATTATTATTATTATTATTATTATTATTATTATTATTATTATTTATTATGGATCATCGCACAGTCAGCCAGATGTTCAGACTGGATTTGGCATTTTGTCTACCTATGGAGTCCTTACCCAGGACCTGGGATAGGCAGATGTGGATGTTTGATGGTATTACAGATATCGTCGCAGGATGGAAGCAGTTCCTAATAAGGCTGCCTTTTGCAATTGACTAATAGCGAATTTGTCAATGCCAATGGTGTTCAGGTGGTGCTCCAGTTGTTTTGGGATTGCATTCAAGGAGCCTATGACTATTGGTACTACCCTTGCTTGCTTTTGCCACAGTCTTTCTATTTCTATTTGTAGGTCTTTGTATTTTGTTATCTTCTCCAGTTCTTTCTCGTTTATTATTATTATTATTATTATTATTATTACTATTATTATTATTATTATTATTATTATTATTATTATTATTATTATTATTATTATTTTAAACTGTCTGCAAAGTCTTCTATTAATGGCCACAATTCTGCATATAATGCCCTTAATTTATATGGATAAGGAATGATAATTCCAGGCTGCAGTACTAGACTACAATCAATACAGTGTCTTCCAGATGGACTTCTCACACTTCTAGCATATCTTCAGAAGCATGCATTAGGTCAGGGGTCCCCAACCCCCAGGCCAAGGCCTGGAACCAGGCTGTGGCCCATTTGGAACCAGTCCACAGAAGCAGCGGGTGAGTGTGCTCACATGTGCAGCTCCACTTGTGCAAGTGGCGGGTGTGTGTGCTCACACACAAAGCTCCATTTGCACGTAGCAATAGCAATGGTAGACTTACATACCACTTCACAATGCTTTACAGCCCTCTCTAAGTGGTTTACAGAGTCAGCATATTGCCCCCAACAATCTGGGTCCTCATTTTATCGCGCTCAGAAGGATGGAAGGCTGAGTCAACCTTGAGCCGGTGGGAATCGAACTGCCAAACTGTTAGCAGCTGTCTCTCAACAGAAGTAGCCCGCAGTACTGTATTCTAACCACTGTGCCACCACGGCTCATGCACCCCCTGCTCATGCAGAACTGTCTCCTCTTCCCCCATGCCACCTCCACTGGTTCACAAAGCTGGAAAGCTTGGGAACCACTCCATTAATTGATGATCTGGCTAGATTGCTTCTTACCCATCCATCATCCTGTATCCCATAAACTCTTGCCACTTTAGGGTGGCAATCCTCACCTTGACATTTGCTGGCATTGTGCATTGTGATATTTTGACTGCCTGGCGGGCGAGTCACTTTGCAGGTGTAGAGGTCCCCTTTGTCCCAGCTCTCTTTGCTGATGTTCAGGTGGGCGAAACTGGAGTAACCACTACCCTTTCCTTCAACGGCTCTCAAGGCCACCTCTTGTTTCTCTTGCATCTTCACTCCATTCTTCAGCCATTCCACCTCTGCTTTCCCACTACTAAGGCTTCTCATGAAGCATACCAGCTCCACACTGACCACTGAGCTCTGTTTGCCACAGCCGGGGGTTAAGATCTGAACATCAACTGGCTTCTGAGGTTGCCAGATGCAATCTGAGAATAGAAAGTAGAAAAATGTTATTGTTTGTTGGAAGAGCCATTCTTAAGAAATGCTTGTAGTTAGAGAAGACTATTTTCTTTACCGGAGACAAATTCCTTGTGTGTCCCATCACACTTGGCTAATTACTCTACTCTACTCTACTCTACTCTACTCTACTCTACTCTACTCTACTCCACTCCACTCCATCCACTCCACTCCACTCCACTCCACTCCACTCCATTCTACTCTACTCCACTCCACTCCACTCCACTGTACTCTACTCTACTCTACTCTACTCCACTCCACTCCACTCTACTCTACTCTACTCCACTCCACTCCACTCCACTCCACTCCACTCCACTCCACTGTACTCTACTCCACTCTACTCCACTCCACTCCACTCCACTCCACTCCACTCCACTCCACTCCACTCCACTCCACTCTACTCTACTCTACTCTACTCTACTCTACTCCACTCCACTGTACTCTACTCTACTCTACTCCACTCCACTCCACTCCACTCCACTCCACTCCACTCCACTCCACTCCACTCCACTCCACTCTACTCCACTCCACTCCACTCCACTGTACTCCACTCCACTCCACTCCACTCTACTCTACTCTATTCTAATCTACTCTACTCTACTCTACTCCACTCTCCTCTCTCCTCTCTATTAACCTATGTTCCTGGCATTCTGCCCACTAGCAAACAAGGAGAACATCCCCTGTTTCTCCTCAACTTAAACATTTATAGGAAACAAGCCAAACTTAGATTCCAATGATTTTCTTTTTGAGGTTAGATGTACTTTGGAAGGGGTAGGATAAGCTTCCTATGATATTTGTGGATGCTCCATCACTGGAAGTGTTTAAGAAGAGACTGGACAACCACTTGTCTGAAATGGTAGAGCAGTGTTTCTCAACCTTGACAATTTTAAGGCATGTGGACTTCAACTCCCAGAATTCCACAGCCAGCATTGCTGGCTGTGGAATTCTGGGAGTTGAATCCACATGCCTTAAAATTGTCAAGGTTGAGAAACACTGTGGTAGAGGGATTCCTGCTTGATCAGGGGAAGACCTCCAAGGTCTCTTCCAACCCTGTTATTTTGTTCTATCCTAGTCCCAAACAAGTTCTGTTTTTGAAGGTCAAAGATGCTAAGCTTAACGGACTTTAGAAGCAAGTTGATAACCTGTTCAAGAGTCTGCACAGGATGTTATCTTCGGAATCTAGATGTTGGATCATCTCCAGATTGTCCTGATGGGCAACCCTGTCTCCTGACATCAGGAGAACCTGAAGGTGATTATAGCATGCCCTCAACAAGTGTGGTGCCCACCTAATTTCATTTGGACTCAGAAGGTTAAGCAACATCAGGTCTGGATAGTATTTGAATTGGAGAGTTTAGGGCAGTGGTGGCGAACCTATGGCACGGGTGCCAGAGGTGGCACTCAGAGCCCTCTCTGTGGGCACACATGCCGTTGCCCCAGTCTTGCCTCCCCCCGTGACCTCCTCCTCTCCAGAAGGCCCCCTGAAGGAGTCGCCCTCAAGCGTGGCCCACACGGAGCAGCACAGCCAAGGACATGGCAGCCAGGCAGCGTAGACAAGACTCTGCCCTCACACCCCATCATGCAGTTAATGCTGCAGGGCGCAGGCAGAGGGTGTGACTGCCATAGCGCTGCTGGGCTGACTGGGTGATCTGCGGCGGGCCCTGGAGGCGATGAGTGGTCCTGTGGGCAGGCAGGGTGGGGGATGGGGGGCAGAGCAGGGGTGGGGCGGGGAGGGTGGAGTGGGGCGGGGCCAGTTTTTGGGCACTCAGTCTCTAAAAGGTTCGCCATCACTAGTTTAGGGAATCCCAGTACTGTAGGCTGAACTGGCAAGTAAAAAAAAACCCCATAAGAAGGAAACAGGAAAGCTACTTCTGTCCCATTGCTAAGAAAACAGCATAGATGCGTCCTTCTATGGTCACCTTCTCTGTTTCTATGCAGAACACTATTCCTCCAAGCTGGACCTACACATCTGGCAGAGTCCCAGCTCCATATTTACTCATCAGGCCTATGGTGGCCCTAACCTCACACTGTTTACCCTCTTGAAGAAACTTACATTTGTTTGTGAAGATAGCTGGGGGAAGTTCAATCTTGTCTTTTACAAAGCATTTGTAATTGAATTCTGAGGAACTGGAGGAAGAGATGGTGAGTTGACTTGTTGTGTACAGGACCTCTCCAGTCATTAGCTGCGATGAGAATTTTTTCTGTTCTGGAGGCTTAGGTTCCCACGTGATTTCCAAAGACTTTGAACCATGTTCAATGAGCAGGCAAGCAAAGGTTACCACACTAGAATCTTCCTTGCTGGAGCTACAGCAGGGCCAAAGTGGAAAGATGGTAGGATTTTGTTGTTGTACTATATGAGAGAGAAAAAAAAAGAAGAGGAAAGTGATGAGAAGTGACAGCAACGATTACAGGTTGGAAACCAATCTTAAAATGAATTCAGTTATGCTAAGTTAAATTTAATATAATTAATAGCAGGATCCAATCTGGATCAGTCACGGGGATGAGGGGTTTAGTCTTCTGAGCTTTCAGATTCGTGCTGGCACTCATCCTCAAGAAACTTCTTGGCATAGGGTCAGGTTACTTATAGGACTGCATACTGCCGCACAGTTCCCATAGACCGGTGAGGTCCCACAGATTGGGCCTCCTTCAGGTCCCGTCGGCCAGACAATGTCGGCTGGCGGGCCCTTGGGGAAGGGCCTTTTCTGTGGTGGCTCCGACCTGGTGGAATCAACTTCCCCCCGAGGTTCGAACAACTCCCACCCTGCCGGCCTTTAAGAAAGCCGTTAAAACTCTCCTGTTCCGGCAGGCCTGGGGCTGATGTCCCCGGGGGGGGGGCGGGACATGATCGGACTTGCGGTATGATTGAATTATTTTATTGTCTTATTCTCGATGATTGTTTTAATTTTGTACGCCACCCTGAGTCCTTTGGGATTGGGCGGCATATAAATAAAATAAAATAAATAAATAAATAAATAAATAAATAAATAAACTTCTCTCTAGCAGAGTGTATGCTTTGCGCTATTCTGTGTGTGGTATTTATATGGTGCCAGTTGTGTGTGGCTTTTTAGTTGTTGATTGGGGTGTTGATGGCTGGCTAGTAAGTCACTGGATGTTGTTTCCTTGTGCTGCCGGGCCCTCATCCCCTAAGTACTTGATAGGCTGGTGGTAAATCAGCACTTCTGTTGACTGATTTATTTAAGGAAACAACAGCCAACGATTTAATAGCCAGCCATCAGCACCCCAATGAACAACTAAAAAGCCACACACTAACAGGCACCATATAAATATCACACACAGACTAGCCTAAAGCACACACTCTGCTAGAGAGAAGTTCCCCGAAGATGGGTTCCAGCATGAGTTGTTGATTGGGGTGTTGATGGCTGGCTAGTAAGTCATTGGATCTTGTTTTCTTGTGCCGCCAAGCCCTCACCTCCTAAGTACTTGATAGACTGGTGGTAAATCAGCACTTCTGTTGACTGATTTATTTAAGGAAACAACATCCAATGACTTACTAGCCAGCCATCAACACCCCAATCAACAACTCATGCTGGAACCCATCTTCGGGGAACTTCTTTCTAGCAGAGTGTGTGCTTTAGGCTAGTCTGTGTGTGATATTTATATGGTGCCTGTTAGTGTGTGGCTTTTTAGTTGTTCATTGGGGTGCTGATGGCTGGCTATTAAATCGTTGGCTATTGTTTCCTTAAGTAAATCAGTCAACAGAAGTGCTGATTTACCACCAGCCTATCAAGTACTTAGGGGATGAGGGCCTGGCAGCACAAGGAAACAACATCCAATGACTTACTAGCCAGCCATCAACACCCCAATCAACAACTAAAAAGCCACATACAACTGGCACCATATAAATACCACACACAGAATAGTGCAAAGCACACACTAGTGTGTTAGTGAAGCCACACACTAACAGGCACCATATAAATATCACACACAGACTAGCCTAAAGCACACACTCTGCTAGAGAGAAGTTCCCTGAAGATGGGTTCCAGCATGAGTTGTTGATTGGGGTGTTGATGGCTGGCTAGTAAGTCATTGGTTGTTGTTTCCTTAAATAAATCAGTCAACAGAAGTGCTGATTTACCACCAGCCTATCAAGTACTTAGGAGGTGAGGACTTGGTAGCACAAGGAAACAACACCCAATGACTTACTAGCCAGCCATCAACACCCCAATCAACAACTAAAAAGCCACTTCAGAAGAAATATGGAACTACAAAGTTTCATTTATTTTATGAGTAATGGATTTGTTTATAAAATTATGATGTTAAAGTTTGAAGTGAGTTAAGGGTTAATATGATTTTGGTTATTGTATAATTAGTAAACTTAAATAGATTATGTTTAATGTGTTTGTATAACCCTGTACTTGGCTCTGGCAAGTCGGGGTGGGGGAGGGGAGTGGGGGGAGGATGGGTTGAAGGTTAAATAGCTCAGATAAGTAGAAATAGTTTCATTGTATATAATATTATGTTTTATTTTGGAAAGAGGAGTTGCTCGGGCATTTCTCCTGGACTGCATCCGGAATGAGAAGATAGGAAGGGGAGAAATAAGTAGGAAGGTTGAGGAGAAGGAGGAGCGGGGGAGAGTGAAGAAGAAGAGGGAAAGAGGGAAGTGAGACAAGAAAGGTTAGAGGGTGGATGTGGTTTGGGGGGAAATGGGTGAGCAATACCGAAAGTTGTGTGTATAAATTTATTTTACTCTCTATCTGAAGTATTTTTTATGATTTCATGTAAAATTGAAAATAATTTTTTTTTTACAAAAACAACAACAACAACTAAAAAGCCACATACAACTGGTACCATATAAATACCACACACAGAATAGCGCAAAGCACGCACTCACTTAGACAGAAGTTTCTTGAGGATGGGTTCTGGCATGAATCTGAAAGCTTGAAAGAAAAAACCTCTAGTGCCGGTGACTGATCCAAACTGGATCCTGCAACATTGTCCCGGGTCCCATATGTTTGCCTTCATTTATGAAATGAATAACTTCTACCGAGTTTAATCAATTTAATTAAATTCAATTTTAATTCCAGTTTTGGTTATAGTGTTTATGACACGGCTTTTCAACCTTTTCACCCATTGTACCACTTTTAGGATATGGCAACATCCGAGTACCACCAGTCGCCTAGCAAGGTGTCAAAAACTTGATGACCCCCCAAAAACAAAGAAAAAAAAGAAAAAAGTGATAAAGTACAGGTAGTCCTCGACTAACAACAGTTTGCTTAGTGACTGTTTGAAGTTACAATGGCACTGAAAAAAGTGCCCCCCAAGGCACAGCTGAGCAAGACGCCTGCCTGCCCACCCGGCCGCGCTCTTCCTCCTATCCGAGGTTTTCATTGTGAGCATTTCTCTTGAGGATTGGCAGTGGAGGTGGGGTGGGGGTGTCCCCCCCGTCTGCTGGGTGGTTGCAGCAGGTTTTGCTCACATTACATAACCCTGGGACACTGTGACGGTCATAAATATGAATCAGTTGCCAAGATGCTGCAACATTCCAGCTGATCGGCACTTGTTCTGGGCTCAGCAGAAGCACCAGGATCAGTGCTGCTTTCCAGCTGATTGGTGCTTCTTCAGGGCTCAGCAGAAACACCAGGATCAGTGCTGAGCTCCAGCTGGAGCCTGGCGCTGATGCTGGCGCTTCTGCTGAGCCCTGACAGCCCTGCAACTCCAGCCATCTCTCTCTCAGGCTTGTGCGGTGCTGCCACTGGTTCAGCTTATTCCCCTCCCCCGCTACCACTTTTCTAGGATGGTCGTGTACCACCTGCCAGGTGCTAATGTACCAGTGGTGGTACCTGTACCACTGGTTGAAAAGCCTTGGTTTATGTTATACATATAGTGTGAAATTTTTATGTTTTAAAATATTAAGCCTTGATTATTGAAGAAAGAGAAAAGTCAATCAGTCAATCAATCAATCATCATCAATCAGTCAAACGTGCTATAGCTTAAAGCAGGGGTGTTCAACCTTTTGGCTTGCCTAGGCCACATCAAGTGAAGAGGAATTGTCTTGGATGGTATATAAAATATAATAATATAGTTAGTGTATATAAATAATGAGTGGTATGGTGGCCTAGTGGTGAAGATGCTTGCCTCCCACTCAGAATGTTGACAGTTCAATCCTAGGTAGCAGATATTTCTCTCCTAGGGCATAAAGAAAAATAATATGTGCTGTGAACTCCACATAGACATCAGGAAGGGCATCCAGCTAGTAAATGCTCAACTCTCTCCAGTCACCTCAACTCTACCCTGAATTAAGGGGTTACATGGTCATAAAAAGGGAGATTTTTTAATGCATATAAATAACAACTTCCTTTATTTTTATATTTTTTTATTATGATCTTATAGCAGCACATTAGCAGCTGTCCGGGGCCACATGTTACCTACGGGCTGTGGATTGAACACACTTGGCTTAAAGTCTTTAAGAGGTTTTATAAAACTGTTTTTTTCCTGAAATATTGTATTTTTGGCTGAATGTCAGTAAATAGAATTACACCCACTTGGATTTTATTATGATGAAGATACCTGTAGAAGAAGGACTGGCAGAAATTGGGGGTGGAGTTAAAAGAGGGATTAGCCTAGAACCCTACATAGCCATAAATGAACTAAGTACACTCTCTCTCTCTCTCACACACACACACACAAACACGCACAGAGAATTTTGTTTACCCTTATCTAACTCCAAACAGGTGCTAATCATTAATTGAGAAGATTCCTGTGCATAGACATGATTGGTTAAATTAAATTAAATTGATTTAATTAGACCTTTATGTGTGGATCTGGTCTTTCATGTCTGGGAGTGATATTCTCAATTAACTAAATTAATGTAAGATGTGAAGGACCAAATATACAAAAAAATTACAAAGAAACTATCTTGGTAATTGCAGGAAGGTCCCATCAACTATCAGCACCAATCATCAGCCAAACTCCTAGGAATTAGCTAGTGCAGGGGTCTTCAAATTTGGCCCTTTTATGACTTGTGGACTTCAACTCCCAGAATTCCTCAGCCAGCATGCCTGACTGAGACATTCTGGGAGTTGGAGTCCACAAGTCATAAAAGGGCCAAGTTTGAAGACCCCCGTTCTAGTGTTTTGAGATTTTGCTTGGTCTAGGATGCTCACAGTTTCCAAGCTGAAACTATGGTTGAGTCTGTCCCTGTGTTGTGAGATTAGGGAATTTTTATTGTGCCCCCTGACTGCTAACTGGTGTTCACGGATGGGCTTTGCTAATCTTTTGTAACAGAGTGCATGGGTGATCTTGAGAAAGAGAAATTAATTGAATTAAATCGAATGCTTTATTTGGCCAAGTGTGATTAGACACACAAGGAATTTGTCTCTGGCGCAAAAAAGAAAAAAAAAATCAGACAAGAGGGCAGCACCCTGCAGTTTCTTAATGGCCAGAGAAAACTTCCAGATATTGGTTTTCCCAGGTAAACTAGAAAGGAAACATGACTAGATGCACTAAATCTACTTTACTGCAAGCCTACATTAAAATAATCTTGCAAATCTAAAGGTAAAACCTTCCTGCTCTCTACTTTTAACTGCTTGCTCCATTAGGGTGGATCTTTCCTTAGTTTCTTTCTCTGATAAGCAACTGTGGGATTCTCTCCTTCTTGTCTGCATCATCTCTTCTACTTTAGTTTAGTTTAGTTTAAATGTCTAGTTTAACGAAGAGAAGGACAAGGGGGGATATGAGAGCAGTATTCCAATATCTCAGGGGCTGCCATAAAGATGAGGGAATTAAGCTATTTTCCAAAGCGCCTGAAGGCAGGACAAGAAGCAACGGATGGAAACTAACCAAGTAGAGAAGCAACCTTGAACTAAGGAGAAACTTCGTGACAGTGAGAACAATTAATCAGTGGAACAGCCTGCCTCCAGAAGCGGTAAATGCTCCAACACTGGAAGTTTTTAAGAAGAGACTGGACAGCCATTTGTCCGAACTGGTGTAGGGTTTCCTGCCTGAGCAGGGGGTTGGACTAGATAACCTCCAAGGTCCCTTCCAACTTTACTACTATTACTATTACTTTTTTTCCTCAAGGTCACCGATGCATTCCATGATATCTTCCAGGGAAGCTTGACATTCAGACAAACCAGCCATCAACAGACAAAGAGAGATAAGCTACATTTGCACACCATTCAAAAGAGACAATAAAAAAAAAAGCTAAGAAGGAAACAAAAAGACCAGAACATATCCTCTCAAGCAACTACGACCCAGATAAGCAGGGATTAACACTAGACAAACAATCAAGCAGAGAACCACACCCTAATCAGGAAATTACCAAGGAAAAAACATTGGCAGAGCAAGCTACCATATATTTATAAACAGGAAACAAACCCCACACTCACTAGTTATGGTGACATTACCTCATTGGGTAATGAAACAACTTCAAGCCAAGAAACCAGTTCAGGAGCACCAAGGACTCCACATTAAGAAATTACATGTCCGTTCATTTTTCTGGCAAAGCCATCCTGTACTTGGTTGCTGAAGAATCCCTCTTTGAAGGAGATGGGCAGTTTAAAAACATGAACTATAAATAATAAATAAAGGATTGTATGTGATATAGAGCTGTCAGACATATATAGATGGATCAAACTGCATCCATTGGACAAATCAGTTGAGAGTAAGCCCCAATGAATTTCTTTTTTTGCCTGTGACTCTATAAGGCTTGGATGTTGTTTCTAGGGAAGTTTACATTCTTGAGGTTGAGAAGTTTGCTAAGCTTCTGATAAATAACTGGGGGGGGGGTGGGGAGTTAATGTTTTAGAAGTCTTGTGGGAACTATTGCTTGAAGATCTCAACCTACAGAAAAACTACAGTCTAGATCCGTGGTTCTCAACCTTTTTAATGCCACGACCCCCAACTGGTCGTAAGTCGAGGACTACTCAACCGGTTGTAAGTCGAGGACTACTCAACTGGTGCAGCACCGTTTGCAGAATGGGACTTTGGGTGGGCTCAGCAGGGCAGAGACAGCCTGGACAATTCCTATTGGCTTTTGAAAGCCAATAGAATTAGACTCTATTCAAGAGAGTCTATTCTGTTGGCTTTCAAAAGCCAATAGAATAAAAGGGAGTGGCACAGCTAAGGAAAAGGGGGGGGGGGGAAATGGCGGACTGCATTGTTTGGCGACCCCCGTGAAATGGTCGTTCGACCCCAAATGGGGTCTCAACCCACAGGTTGAGAACCACTGGTCTAGATGTAGTCAAGGATTGAGGTACATATAAATTTCCTTTCTCCCACAGTCAATTCACCGGAGTCTTTTTTAAAAAGGATAAACCAGAAATTTTAGTCTCTGAGTACAACATCCATAACATTCTCTTCAGTACTTTGTTGGCTGGAACCTCCAGCAGCACATGCTTCATGACAGAAAATTGCCCAGAGGAACTAGGTAATGACCCACAGGGACCAGAATCCAAGTTAAAGAAAAGGATATGAGTATATGTACTGAATTTTAAATAAGACTTCAGACATGGCCAAAGGAACAGAAGAATGGTCCCCTACAATTCAGAGAAATAATTTTTTTTTTCAGAATTCAAGAGACATCTTAAACGTGTCTATGAAGATTTTCAATCATCCAGGTCACGATTGTCCCAAAAGTGCTTTTCCAAAGGCAACTGGACTTTCTTGTTCTTTTTTTTTCTTTGAAAACATTTCACTTCTCAAACAAGAAGCTTCTTCAGTTCTGGCTGAATGGTGGGGAATAGAAAGATTTATGTTTCTTAGCAGTCTTCTGGTTATTAGCACTCTGAAATATTTGTTGAGCTAACAACAGACCTACAGAGTGCTAATTTATTTATTTACTTATTTATTTATGAGACTTATATACCGCTTTAAGTGCAAGCACTCCCTAAGCGGTGTACACCAGTAAGCAATGTATATATATATTTACATTGCCCTCAACAATCTGGAAGACCTGGAGGAACGTTGTCCATGGGGTCGCGATGGGTCGGACATGACTTCGCAATTAACAACAACAACAATCTGGGTCCTCATTTTACCTACCCTGGAAGGATGGAAGGCTGAGTCAACCTTGAGCCGGTGAGATTTGAACCGCTGACCTGCTGAACACAGTCAGCTAAAGTGGCCTGCAGTACTGCACCCTAACTGCTGCGCCACCTCGACTCAGCAGATCAGAATGATCATAATGACAGATCAGTGCTAAGGAATATAAATCTTTCCATTCGCCACCATTCATCCAGAACTGAAGAAGCTTCTTGGATGAGAGGATAAACATTTTCAAAGAAAAAACAAACAAACAAAGTCCTTTTAAAAAGCATGTTTGGGACATGTTTAAACAACTTGGGACATGTTTGGGACAACTTAAACATGGTTTTGCATAAATGTATCTTCATGTATTATCTTACATTGGTTTTTGGATGACAAAGGTTTGTTCACAGTTACTTCTTCTGGTGATCAATTGACTGTGACTGAAATAAGTGAGAGTTCAGAGAATTCTTGGCCTGTGCAAAAGAGTGTGTATCAGTTTGCTCTGTGCAGAACAGTGTGTACACCAAGAAAGTATGTATACAGGAAGAGTGTGTATATCAAGAAACAATGAATGGAAACTAACCAAGAAGAGAAGCAATCAGAACTAAGGAAAAAATTCCTAACGGTGAGAGGAATCCATTAATGCAGTGATTCTCAACCTTTTTAATGCCGCGACCCCCAACCTGTCATAAGTCGAGGACTACTCAACTGGTGCAGCACCGTTTGCAGAATGGGACTTTTGGCGGGCTCAGCAGGGCAGAGACAGCCTGGACAATTCCTATTGGCTTTTGAAAGCCAATAGAATTAGACTCTATTCAAAAGAGTCTATTCCATTGGCTTTCAAAAGCCAACAGAATAAAAGGGAGTAGCACAGCTAAGGAAAAGGGGGAAAAAATGGCGGACTGCGTTGTTTGGCGACCCCCGTGAAATGGTTGTTCGACCCCAAATGAGGTCCCGACCCATAGGTTGAGAACCACTGCATTAATGGAATAGCTTGCTTTTAGAAGTTGTGGGTGCTCCAGCACTGGAGACTTTCAAAAAGAGTCTGAAATAGTATATTTGTCTGAAATAGTATATGGTCTCCTGCTTGAGCAGGGGGTTGGATTTGAAGATCTCCAAGGTCCCTTCCAACTCCATTATTCTTTGTCCCATCTCCTTGACCTATTCAATGCAGCTTTGATACCTGACATACTTTGAGGCATGGAAGAGAAACTGAGTTTGCTTAACCTTTATGGCCTTCCACTCCAAACAGTCTTTAGGGTGTCTGGGGAATTTCGCTCCTGATTATGTCCTGAATATGCAAGACAAATAACCTTGCGACACCAGCTGGAGGGAACAGCCTTGCCATTATAGAATCTAGCCATCTCTGCATTTCTTTCCACTCCAGTGTGAAAGGTTGACTAGAGATTATGTGAAAGATCTGGAATTCTGTCTGTCTGTTCCTAAGCAGGACAACACCCTGCAAATAGGACAGAAAGGATCATCTTTGGAGTTTGTGTGTAGGTGTGAAAGAGAGATGCTGTCAAAGAGAAGACTGTGCTTTAAAATGGCCCTGATCCATAAACCACTTTTACATCCCTACGGATGAAAAAATTGAGCAATACAGAGAAAGTATTACTCACTATTTCATTTTAATTCCCTTCCCTTCTCCTCCCAGTTCAATTAACCATAATAGACTAGGTATCCTATCCCATGTTTCTCAATGCATATACATTCTCAAAGATATGGCCAATGTTTGCAAAGATATTGGAGAGAATTTGAGAAGTTATGTTCCTCCAGTGTTCGCTGTCTTGCAGTGTGAATTACTTTAAGATTCAGAAACCCAGTTGCTAGGCTTAACCAAGTTTGTCTGAGAACCAAATGGGGAGTTTTGGTTGAATGATAAGAACAGTGGACATCTTCAGTACCAGTAAAAATTCACAAGGGAGGCACTTCATTCATCAAAAATAGATATTTATTACAGCATTGTATGACAATCTCAATATAAAAATACAGATTGTGCAGTGATCTCCTGTCTGTTTTGTATGAAAGTGCTATAAATCCCCTTTAGGATATCAGATCAGGCAGATCATTCTGACAAAAAAAAAATCATAACAATGATTAAACAATGACTACAATTGAGACACAGAGAAGTATCCACAAAGATATGCGTCACACAGAAAATGACACAACAAAGTAAAGCAAAATTTCACCATGGAACTGAACTGTAAACAACTGGGCTGCTTCAGCTCATACTATGATACAAAGCAAGATAAAAATGCCAGCCCCCTCCAATCTACTCAAATCTTTCTCCTTTCACAAAAGCAGATGTAGAAGATCAGCCTCTGTTTTTATTTCACCTGGAATCAGAAAGAAGATAAAAGAATGTTACTGTTGAAACTTTATTTTTTTCCAGGAAGTGAGTCACAATTTTTAATACAGTTGACACAGAAGAATTATTGAGGCTGTCATTTGTACTTCTATAACTGTCTGGTTTGGCACAGCAACCAAACAAGACAGGTATAGAGTTCAACCGATAGTTCGGATGGCAGAAAACCAATTGCAATCAGCCTGCATTCCATTGAGGATCTGTATAATCAGAGGATCAGAAAGAGGGCTGAGAAATTATCTACAGATAATTTCACATCCTCACATCCTGGATATAAACTGTTTCATCTCCTCTCCTTGGGATGCCACTAAAGGGCATTGCATGCCAAAACAATTGGAAACAAAGACAGTTTTTCCCCCTGTGCCATTACTAACACCTATTTCCCACAAATTTGTCTTATGCCTAAGGATATTTACCCATGTAGTAGGGCTGTATCGCTATTCTTCTTCTCATCTTTCTTATTATCATCTCCTATTGATATCTTACGATTACATCACTTTGTTGTTTGCATGTACACTGAGAGTTTATATACTGGAGACAAATTCCTTGTGCGTCCAATCACACTGGGCCAATAAAGTATTCTATTCTATTCTATTCTATTCTATTCTATTCTATTCTATTCTATTCTATTCTATTCTATTCTATATTCCATTCTAGTTCTTATTCCTATTCCTATTCCTATTCCTATTCTATTCTATTCTATTCTATTCTATTCTATTCTATTCTATTCTATTCTATTCTATTCTATTCTATTCTATTCTACTCTACTCTACTCTACTCTACTCTACTCTACTCTACTCTACTCTACTCTAAATATGAAGGGGAGATAATGAAATATATATATGGAGAGTCCTCATATTCAATTATAGTGGGATTCCATCAGAACATATAGTTTTTCTAGCCTCACTCAACTGTTATTCAAACACCATCAAACCTGTTCTCATTACTATTATTTTAGCCCAATGACTTTAGAAGATGAGAGAAAATTACTGGTGAAGATTCAGTCTAAATATATTTTGAAACATAAATATGTGTATGAATGTATGTATATATGTTATTGGTTATTCCATAATTTTAATATACATACATTCATTAAATTGACAATATGTATTTACTTTTGTCTTTTCTGCAGTGCAGATTGATAAGCATAAAAAAAATCACGCAGTGGAAAAGTATAAGCAGACATATTTTGAGTAGCAGTGGAAACTATTTCCTTCAAAACTGCTTTCTCGTGAAAGGGCAAATGGCCAAAATTACGCAGGCAAGGGAAAATGCATACGAAAATGTTTCCAAATATCATATCATATTGCTGCATATTATTATTAATAAATGATAGATATCCACTCCAAAAGTGGACATTGGTGACTACACAACTGGAGGTTAAAGTCTACCCCAGTGGTTCTCAACCTTTTTAATGCCGCGACCCCCCACTGGTCGTAAGTCGAGGACTACTCAACTGGTGCAGCACCGTTTGCAGAATGGGACTTTTGGCGGGCTCAGCAGGGCAGAGACAGCCTGGACATTTCCTATTGGCTTTTGAAAGCCAATAGAATTAGACTCTATTCAAGAGAGTCTATTCTATTGGCTTTCAAAAGCCAACAGAATAAAAGGGAGTAGCACAGCTAAGGAAAAGGCGGAAAAAAATGGCAGACTGCATTGTTTAGCGACCCCTGTGAAATGGTCGCTCGACCCCAAATGGGGTCCCGACCCACAGGTTGAGAACCACTGGTCTACCCATTCCCTATGTAGAAAGCATGATCAAGGACATTTCATGTGCATATACTCTACTGTTTCTATCTCACTTGTCTTACCTTGATGACTGTCACAGTGGCACTGTAGAAGAGGCTCACTAGGAAAAGAATGATGAAGGTGGAAAGGATTGATGAGAGGTTTTGGAATTCTTCTTCATCCTCCGTGTCCACAATTCCCTCTATGTAACCTTTGGACAATAGATGAAGGTCAGCTTCTAGAGTTCAGAAAGAAGTGAGGGTGCATTGAAGCTAAATGGGGCATACGATAAAGATAGCATGCAAGAGCCATGAAAATGTTATAGCGCAAGGTATGGGAAAAGACAAACAATGTTTGAAGATGCCGAAGTAATAGCGGAGAAAAGCTGAGGGGAGCTAAGAGGGAATTAAGAGGTGAGCTGTTTTAGTAAAGCCTTGGAGTGGTGGGAGATGGCATTTCTTAAGACTATCCCAAAGAAGGAATAAAAAGGGAAGGGGGCGGTCTACCGTCTACAGATGTCCATGGAGATTCTCAGTCACCCAGGTCATGGTTGCTTCTCCAATGGCAACTGGACTTCCTTTGTTTTCTCCTTGAAGACATTTCACTTCTCATTCAGTCAGAACTGAAGAAACCTCTTGGATGGGAAGTGAAAGGTCTTCAAGGAGAAAACAAAGAGAGTCCAGTTGCCTTCTGAAAAAAGATATTTGGGGTGACTCATTACAGACGTTGAAAGACTGCTTTCAAACGAGTGATTACTATTGCTTGGCTGAAGAATTACTCAGCCCACCACTCCTGCACAAATCAAAAGATCCTGCAGATTTGTGGGAAGAAGGTTTACATGGAAGAGCAGGTTGGGATAGGATGTTTAAGCTGATCGAAATTCTTCACCTTTGGTTGGCAAGGTGATGACATGTTGACATATCACCATGTGTAATTAACTTGAAGAACTGAACACTTATGGATGAATTCACGATTTTTTGATGAATTCAGTGTAGTAAAGCTTGCTTTCTGAAGCTATGTGATAGAGGTGCACTCCTTGATATCTTCCAGGACATGACAACCGTTTTCTCTTTCTGGAATATACAATAAGTTCCTTTCAACTTGCAATCATAGATTGTGAATGATGGTCAGCTACAATTTCTGGAAGGATTGAGAATATATCAGTTGTGGAAAACACTGATTTGGGGCAAAGGGATGTCTCATTCATTGGATGTCCTGGGAAGGGAGCTTTTTTTTTTAATATGCCCCATTAATTTTGAATGAATCTGAGTATAATAAAGAACCTGCAGTCAGTATATGAAGTCTAACCATAAACAAAATGAAAGTGGTTTGATCAAAGTCACTAGTAAGTTTGTCGGAAGGCTTGTTAGCATTTAATTTTTGGTTTACAATATTTAAAGTCAGCCCTCTACCCTTTCCATCAGATTGCCATGTTTTATTTCATTCACCTGCATGGGTGAATGCCAATGTATGAGCAAACTGGGACATTATGAATTCCTTTTTCACAATATTCACAATTAACAGAGGGATAGAATCAAGATCAACATTAAGAAAACCAAAATCATGGCATCCGGCCCTCTCAATTCCTGGCAAATAGATGGGGAAGAAATGGAGGTAGTGACAGATTTTATTTTTCTGGGCTCCAAGATCACCTCAGATAGGGACTGCAGCCAAGAAATTAAAAGACGCTTGCGGCTGGGGAGGAAAGCTATGGCAAATCTAGACAGCATACTAAAAAGCAGAGACATCACCCTGCCAACAAAAGTGCGTATAGTCCATGCCATGGTTTTCCCAGTTGCAATGTATGGCTGTGAAAGTTGGACCATAAGAAAGGCTGAGCGCCAAAGAATTGAGGCCTTCGAACTATGGTGCTGGAGAAGACTCCTGCGAGTCCCTTGGACTGCAAGGCATTCAAACTGGTCAGTCCTAGAAGAGATCAACCCTGACTGTTCTTTAGGAGGCCAGATCCTGAAGTTGAAACTCAAATACTTTGGCCACCTAATGAGAAGGAAGGACTCACTGGAGAAGGGCCTAATGCTGGGAAAGATTGAGGGCAATAGAAGTAAGGGACGACAGAGAATGAGATGGCTGGATGGAGTCACTGAAGCAGTAGGTGTGAAATTAAATGGACTCCAGAAGATAGTAGAGGACAGGAAGATCTGGAGGAATGTTGTCCTTGGGGTCGCGATGGGTCAGACATGACTTCACAATTAACAACAACAACAAGAATCAAGATCATGTGAAGTGTTGATACCATTTTACAACGCCTGGGTAAGGCCACACTTGGAATATGGCATCTAGTTTTGGTCACCATGATGTAAAAAAGATGTTGAGACTCTAGAAAAAGTACAGAGAAGAGCAACAAAGATGATTAGGGGACTGGAGGCTAAAACATATAAGGAATGGTTGCTGGAATTGGGTATGTCTAGTTTAACGAAAAGAAGGACTGGGATGACATAATTGCAGTGTTCCAATATCTCAGGCATTGCCACAAAGAAGAGGGAGTCAAGCTATTCTCCAAAACACCTGAAGGCAGGACAAGAAGCAATGGATGGAAACTAATCAAGGAGAGAAGCAACCTGGAACAACTTGCCTCCAGAAGTTGTGAATGCTCCAACACTGGAAGTTTTTGAGAAGTGATTGGACAACCATTTGTCTGAAATGGTATATGGTTTCCTGCCTGAGCAGGGGGTTGGGCTAAAAGATCTGCAAGATCCCTTCTGTTATTCTATTCTATATTAACTGAGGTAGTTGAAGTTTCCTTGAATACAAAGAGAGACTATGTCAAGAATGAAACTTTGGTAGTTACGTGCCTCTTCGTTTCCACTTGCCATTAGAGTAAGGGGAGGAGGTATTGCTTTAGAATGGGTTAGAGAGAGAAATGAAACCTCTATGATTCTTTTGAAGACTATGAAAGCCTGAAACCTTTCCAAGGACACCATAACAGGTGTGGATTTGAAGCAGATGGTTCCCATAACAAAGTGAAATTGTTTACATGGACTACATGAGAGGGTGGGGATTTGTCTGGAGAAATTATTGTTAAATTCTATGAACTGGTGTCTGGGAACCTCTGAGTTAGTTTTGCTTCAGCATTATCATGCCGTGTATTCAATAAACAGTAAGATTTTTGGAAATGGAATGAACCTGGAGTTTTATTTAGATTCTCCAGCTGGATGTTGACAGACTATTTGTATGCTATCTGAAAACAGTCTTGGTTAAAACAATTAATTATTGGAACGTCTTGCCTCCAGAAATTGTGGGTGGTCCAACATGGGAGGTTTTAAAGAAAAGATTGGACAACATTTGTCTGAAATGTCATAGAGTGTCCTGGGAGCTGGACTTAGAAGATCTCCAAGGTCCTTTCCAACTCTGTTATTCTGTAAAATGAGCTACAAATGGGCCAACTAGGTAACTAAGTCAGATCCACAAGCACACTAAGGGGACTATCATCTATACAAAGCAATTGGGAGTTCAGATTGGTGGGTCTTCCTAATGTGAACTTTGAGTTTAAGATGCCCAGTATTTGGCCATAAGATGAGGGCGAAGGTGAATTTTGACTTTCCAAGTGTTGTGGTTGATGATCCATAGCTTAACTTTACTGAGAAGCCACGGTGAATAGGACAGATGGAAAAGGCGATGGCAGCACTTAAGATTTATGGACCTTCCCTTGAGTACATCCTCATGGAATACAAAGGAAACAGCTGAGGGCTTTTCTCGGTTATGTCTTTCTCATATGTTGGGAGAGAAGAAAGAGAATTCAGGGCATGGATGACCATGTCTCCAATGAGCATTTTGGCCCTGGGCAAGAACTCCTTCTCTTTCTTCTGGTTCTTCTTTGAGGAGAAGCAAGAGTTCTTTGGCTTTTTCTGGCATGGCGGCCATTTTATGACTCTTAAAACTCACGGAGGAGAATTTGTCTGGAATATTTTTGAGTCAAGCATAAGAACAAAATGTCAGAAGAATATCAATCTGAGGTTTAGGCTAGGAGCAACTGTTTGATTGGAGCCATCAAACATTTTGAAGAATTTAACTGCTTGGAAGAGTAAAGATCATAGTTGCCCACCACAAAGGTCTCTGCTCTAACAAAGTTCATTTGCTCAAAAAGCCAAAAGGGAAATTATAATTTTTATTAAGAATGTCGGTATTATGGGGTTTTTTTTTGGTTTTTTTTTTTATAAAAGATCAAGTGGGTAATTGTCAGGGTGTATGGAAAATTTAAGCCGCTTATTGTAGGTCTGTTTAATGTATAAACTATTTAATGTTTTTTTCTTTTTTAAAAGAACAAGTCAGTTGGGTACATTTCTTCTCCTCTGTTATCCGAACAAAGTAATCAGTGATATTTTTCTTAAGGATGCCGGAATGTTTATTTGTTTATTTATTTATGAGACTTATATACCGCTTTAAGTGCAAGCACTCTCTAAGCGGTGTACAGTTTGTGTACAGTACGATGTTCAGTTTGGTTAACACAATGAAGGGGTGTTCATAGATGTTTATGATTTGTTAATTAGTTGTGTGTCAGTAGATAATTTAATTAAATTGCATGAATTTTGAATCTTCAATTTTTGATCTTGTTTTAATGCATGGGATAAACATTTATGGTCCTGAAGTTCTATGTATTTGATCTTCTAATACTTTCATGATTATAAACATTCACAGTGGCTTTTTCTTTGTTTTTTCTTTTTTTAAAAAAAGTTATCTCTTTTTTTATAGAACATCTGTGTGCTGAGAATTGTTGAGATGGACTAGATTATTTGGCGGCGAACTTCAAATTCCCCGACATTCAAAACAACAGCATTACTCTTATTTTGTGCATTTGCTATTTGACAATCGCGTGTATGATGAGTCTCCATAGAAGCACATTTTTTATGTTGTTTAGCCAAGCTGTTATGGTTTGTTGTGTTGGTGTCTACAGTTTTTACTTCACTTAGAACAGACATGTCAAACATGCAACGTCACATGACGTTGCGCAATGTATCAGGCTGGTTTTGCCATTGCCGGCAATGGGGTGGGCATGGCTTCCAGATGACGCGTGTGGCCTGTGGGCCCGCAGTTTAACACCCCTGACTTAGAACTAAAAAATAATATAGGGATTGTTTGAAACTAGAGCTGTGTTAGCTGATATGCATGATATAGTTTCCAATATTTATTTAGTTGTGTTCCTATTTATTTATTTATGAGACTTATATACCGCTTTAAGTGCAAGCACTCTCTAAGCGGTGTACACCAGTAAGCAATGTGTATATATATTTACATTGCCCCCAACAATCTGGATCCTCATTTTACCTACCCCAGAAGGATGGAAGGCTGAGTCAACCTTGAGCCGGTGAGATTTGAACCGCTGACCTGCTGAACACAGTCAGCTAAAGTGGCCTGCAGTACTGCACTCTAACTGCTGCGCCACCTCGGCTATCAAGTTCCTATGCTCTGTTTAAAGATCTACTGGGGTGCTATTTTAGTGTGTTTTAGACTTTCATGAAACACTTTTTTAAGAACTTCTTTGCCTTGTACAAAGGATGTAATGTTCCCCCAAATAATTCCAGATGAACATCCAATGGATGAGACATCTCTTTGTTTAGGAAAGAAATTAAAGAGAAATGAATAGTTTGAAGATGTACCTGTACAGAATGGCATAATCTGAAAACACGAATAATCTCAAATTGGGCATTGATTTTGGAGATAATCTATGACAGTACGGAAAAGAGAAGCTATCCACCAGCTTTCTAAAACAGCTCTTCTCCAGCTTGATGTACCGATAGCACCACTCAGAACAAGAACCATTATGCCATAGAAGATGAAGTACAGGAGTTATTGTCAGGAGAAATACATGTGAAATGATTAAGGAACCTATGGGATAACTCAGATTTTCTGGTATTAGCTCGTGCACCATCACTATTTCTCACAAAAAGCCAGATTTGTTTTTTGTCTTTGTTTTGAGAAAAACACTTTATTGCAAAATATTTAATTCCTTCAGAAAGATGTGGCCAGCTACTGTTTTAACACTGACACATCCTTCCTTAGAGATCTGCCTTCATCACTGAAAATTTTCCATAATGAGGCAGAAGAAGAAACAGAGGTTGTTGGTGGTGGTGGTGGGGAAACAGAGCAAATGAAGGTTTCTCAAAAGAAATTAGGTTGACAATTAGTAGCAAGCGGTGGAGGCGTCAGAGAGGACTACGGAGAGGTTGACTATGGATGGTTTACCCGTGTTCTTGTTTACAGTCTTCTGAACTGTGTTGTAGGCCAAGGCTTCATGTCCCACCATGCAAGTATAAGAATCTCCTGCACTCCATTCCTGTTCGCTGACGGTCAATATGCTATAGGCAAAATACTGTTTGGACAGTACATTGGACTCTACTATGGGTTGGCTGGTGAAGTATTCTGATTCACTGATTGGCTCCTCATTATGGAGCCATCGCACAAAGATGCTGTTGGGATTGAAACCTTGAATGAGGCATGAGAGGGTAGCTTTCTCCCGCAAATTCACCTGTTCTACTGAAGGTGAAAGGATGTAGACAGAGGGAGCTTTCAGTTTGCCATCTGAACAATGGGAAAAGAGAAAAGAGAAAAGAAAAAGGTGAGGAGAATATTTAGTACACATTCTTTATCATGTTTAACTGTAGCTACCTCTTGGTGAGACCGCACTTAAATGTTGAAGACATGTCTCTTTGTCACTGAACAAAGATTAGTTCATTAGCTTTGAGGCGGAAGGTGCACGTTTTCTACTTAAGGTAGGCAAGAGAAAGAAAAAATGATCATATGGAATCATTAGGCCAGAATTAGATGCCAGGGAATCCATTTGCTCATGCTGCCTATCTGTATAATGGGGCCTATCAAGATCAACGCAGCCTGAGAATTACATTTATGCTGTCTGTCTATCTTAGGGATCTCAAGTTGTATGCAAACTTTTCCTAGGGGAAAGTGAGAAGGCGCTTTCTCTTCATAAAAGAAGAGGGGAGTTGAAAAAAAAATGTTGGTAGACCACTATGGATGTGGAAGCTGGATTCTCACTATTTGTACTCGATGGGAGTTAAGGAACAAAGGAGCCACAAATATCAGATCAAGAATAGGGTTCATGGGGATGTCAATCAAGGCAACTGTAGAAGGACAATTTGGGGTGTCCTGAGCGATTCTGATCCTACTCCGGAGTGAATGCCTTTAATACATGAGGTATTAATCTCTTTTATCTGGAAACCTTCTGGAACAAGTGATCCCCCCCCAAATGCTTTTCATGGATCAACTAGAAACTTACCATTCTCCTTCCTCAGGGGTTTTTCTATTGGCTTGACAAGGACATCTTCAAATGTCACTTTGCAGTGAAAGGTTTCATCCTCCTTCCATTCTGTTGCACACACTGTGGCCACAGCATTGACGTAGTAAAAATCATTTTCCTGTTCTAGGAAGTTGGTCATCACAGTGTGGAGTTGCTTGTGGTCAGATTCTCGTGTCCAGGTGACATTCAGCTTTGAATAGTCTGCTTCAGTAGGTATGTTGGAGATTTTGCAAGTCAGGTTGGCTGAGTTGGTCAGGAACATATCGGCGAAAGTTGGGGGGATGGTTTCCACGCTAACAGATGAACACCCTCCATCTATGGGTTCTAAAGGCAAAACAAAAACAGTGTTCAATCATTCAATAAATTGTACAAACATTTCTACCTTTCAGATATTTAATAACAAATGTATGATGCAGCTGCTTATGTATGTCTGCTTTCTTGTGATTATTAAAAGCTCTTAAACAGAGCTTAAACATTACATTGTTTAATGTAATGCAGTGTGTGGTCCATTCATGACCTACATTCAGGTGGGGAAAAAAATGCACCAGGAAACTGTTTCTATGCATCTTTGAGAAATATACAAATGTTCCCTTTGGAACATTTATCTCTGAGAGCTCTGATTGGATTTTCAGAATCTGTCATGGTAGATTTGTATGGAATCATGAAATATGTTTTTGCTTTTGTCTTGTTTTTTTAAATAAACTCTAAATCTCAGTGACGAAATAGGAATGTTGATGTTAGGTAGGTACATACCATATTTTGTTCTGTTTTTCCTGGGTGTTTATGAATTAGGAGAATGTGTTTTCTCTGTTCAAAGTCTAAGCATAGCTCTTCAGAGAAATAAGAATTCTCTGCATTGATATCAAAATACAAGTGAATGTGGGGTTTTCTTGGTGCTCTCTGAGCTTGCTCAGAGGAGAAGGAAGTAACATCATCAGTGCAAACCCTACTCCCTTCTAGCACGGAAGATGTTACCTAGTTTGGGTAACGAAACATCTGCAAGAAAACAAGCAAGCTCAAAGAGCACCAAGGATCCCTCACGTCAACCCCGAGTACAAATATTCTCTTTTACAGGTGAGTAGTTTAATCCCAGATCGGTTACTGAACTAATTGGAGGCGTGGGTCCCTGGTGAACAAAAATATGTACAGAAAGTGGATGTGGATGTGTGTATTAAATTAAGTAAATTAAATCACTCAGTGTTCAACCTAGAGGAGCATTTGAGCAAAGAGTTATCCCACAACTGGCCACATTACTCTGATTCTTGAAGAAAATTCCACTTACTTTTGCAGAAAGATGGCAAGCTGAACGTCTCTGAATGAGTGAATTCCTTGCTTTTTACTGCACAAGCAAACTTCTTTTCAGAAATCCAGTCTTCCTTGGTGACAACAAGTTTGCTCCAAATGGTGTATCCACCACGACCATTTGGGACAGGTTTGCTGGTAGTGATGCCACTGGTGATTTCTTTTTGCTCCTTAAGCCAACTGATGACAACGTTTCCAGAGCAGAGGTTACTAACTTCACAGGTGACAGTGGAATTTAGGTAGCTACTTGAAAATGCACTCAGCACTGGTGCCCGAATGAGCACCTCAGGGACTAATTGCACTGGAACATCTGGAAAGTTGCAAGAAAAAAAAAAGATGATTAAGACAAGGAAATTCAACACCTTAAAAGCATAATGGAAATGAAGATTCAGAAGGTGCAGTAATGTCGAGAGACTTGTGTGTTCAGTTCTATCTAGAAAACCCTTAGATAAACTAAGTGGTCTGCTGGCATTTGGTTATAGCCCGTAACTGGGAAACACATCTGTATCTACCTAAATGTCTGGGAAACAGGGATCTCCTGGAAACAAAGATGAGCGGGGTTTAGCCCCACACCTCAGGCTCATCCCCAGAGCATAAAACAGGGCACTGGTGAGCATATGCAGAGAACTCCTTTCCCATGGCCAGGAAGAAGCCATGTTCAACCTCATCCATAGTCGGAAGGTTGGTTTTCAAGGGAAGTGAAAGTATCTCAGTGCGCCTGATATTCAGAAGAATTCAAAATGTCGGGTCGCTGTTAATTATCTGGTGGGTTAAGCAAAGGAAATTAGGTGTAGTGATTTAGGAGGCAGGCTAACTTTTCTACAAACACATGTTGCATGTAGCTTCTAATGCCCTTTGACCGACTCCCTTATGAAAGTAACCTAGGTGCGCATGGGTGACATTGGCTGATGGAATAAATGAATTTCACTTACATGGTTTAGCCACTGAAACCACTTTGTCTCCTTGGGCGTGCTTGGCTTTGCAGTAGAACGGTTCTAGAGCCTCCCAGGTGCTCCGGGAGACTTTAGCCTGGGAAGCTGCTGTGTATGTCCCACCGGACATGATAGAAGGAAATTTCATAAACTTCTGGTCGCTGATACTGCTGTTGTCTGGATTATCCCAGGAGAAAGTAACTGCATCTGGCAGAAAATTCTTGGCGAGGCATCCAACGGCGATCTCTGTATCCCCTGTGCTGTCCCCAGATGGGATGAGTGGAAAAAGAGAAGGGGCCCTTGGGGATTCTGAGGGAGAAGAAAAAGAGAAGGATGGCGGATTTTGAAGATGTTACATGTTCAGCTGGGATTGAGGTGCATGAAAGGAGGTGAGTCTTGCTTGGCTGAGAAAGGAAGAGAAGGTGAACAAATATTTGTGTAGACTTTCCCTGAGTTAACCAGACTTTTGTGGAGTGTGTGTCATGGTTCATTGATACCTTATAGGAATGCATCAAGTTGTAGGCTACCAGTTTGCCTCACTTGGTTCCTGACCAGTTCTAACAGTTCATATGGATTCCTCCTTCATATAATCTTCCTGTGTGTGAGCTAAAATAGGAAGGTTAGAAAGTATGAATTGAGGTGCAAACATTTGGCCGTTAGCTGCCCATGGGCTGAGATTCGTGGTTTGTCAGGCTCTGTCATAGGAGATTTCAATCAATGGGACTCCTTTCCAGGATTGTTATAAGAATCACTGAGATCAACCCTGTGAAGGTTTATATATTTATATCTCATATTTAGAAACTGCCCATCTCCTTCATGGAGGAAACATTTTGAATTCTTATTGTCGCAAACTGGAAGAATTCCAGCAGGCCTTAATCTTAGCAAATTTCTTTCAAAGGCAACACATTTTCAGATTCATGAAAATAACAATGGTCAAAACCTCCCCAGCATGTCTACCCATAGGGCCAGAAAGAAGGAATCCTTAAGATAGTTTTGTAAAATATCATTTACCCAGAGGTGACAGATGAACTGACAAAATGTTTCTGGGTCTGGGGAAGAATACTAGAAGCCACATTTCTCTCCTCAGGCCACGTGCCGAGATTTAAAAGCAATCAAGCATTTCTTCTCAGAAAGATGAAGCAGATCTAAAACTTTTCTCTGAGACCTAGTTGCCAAGCCTATCTTGGCCAGCCATGTAAATGAAATCCAACAGTTTGCTCAAACTGGACATTCTACTTGACTCCATTTTTTTTTCAGTTGCATGTTCCCTTTTTGAGTGGCTACTAAAACAGTCAACTCTGTTTTCTTGTTTAACACACACACACACACACACACACACACACACACACACACCCCTCCATTTTGGGTGTAAACTGTTTGAAGAAGCCCAGATGAGAAGCCGGTGTCATGAGTTCTAACACTATATTTATTGTAAGCAGTGGTGGGATTCAGGCAGTTTGCACCACTTCGGCAGAACTGGTAGCTAATTTTTTGTTGCCCAGGCCCAGAATGGACTTCCGGAAGTGGCATCCACACAGAGAACTGGTTATTCACATATTTGAATGCTTTCCTCATTTCTCCTCCCTCTCCCCTTTTTCCTTCTGTCTCTCAAGGATATTCCAATAGACCCTTATAGAACTTCAGAAAAGTTTCAAATTCTCCTGTCTAAAGGGATATCTCTCTATTGGTTCTTAAAGGCTGCACTTTTAAGTTCCAATCTTAAAGTGATTTCTTGCTTAGAAAACACACACACACACACACACACACACACACACACACACACACACACACAGCAAACAAACCTTATTCTCCTGCCTCCTATTTTGCCCTAACAGCAACCCTGTGAATGACTGCCCAAAGTCTACCCTGTCAGCTTTTTATCACCAAGAATGGCCTAAAACTCACAATCTCCTGGTTTCTAGACCAGCATCTTCACCAAGACACCAAACTGTCTCAGATATTTACCCATTGTATTCTGTCATAATAACCAGGCCTGCTTACAGAATCCACCACAGACCTTCCGAATTACGTTGCGGATCTGAAGCACTTCTGGAGAAATGCTTTGGATTCTTATGGTGTAAGATCTGGGTCCCTTTCTCCCCCTTGCTCTATTGATACAAGCACATTATTTTCTGGAAATAATGTGCAAGAATGGAGGAGAAAGCTCATTAGCCTTTAGCAAAGCTCTTTTTGAGATAGTAAAACAATTCAGCTGTCTGGTATCTACTAAAAGCTTCTGCGCATTGCTTCTGTGTTTTTACAGAATCAAAGCACAGTCAGAGGAACCCAGTTCTGCTTCTCCTTTGACTGTGGAGAAAAACAGGGCCAATTCAACTTTAGGAAGGTTGTTGAGAAATGCCAGAATCTTCTTTCAGCTTTTTTTTATAGCATTAGAAGGAAGCTGGTTGAGACAGTTGTTCAGGGCACCCGTAAACTGACATGGAGCCCAGCAGCTGGTTTTCTAATTTATTGAGAGCTCGGCTTATTGGGATTGGACTAGAAGACCTCCAAGGTCCCTTCCAACTTTTGTTATTCTGCCCTTTCTGCAGCTGATCTACTGCTACTACTTCTTGCCTCCTAACTCTGTCGCATTTGAGAAGGAAAGCCCAACTGCTCTCTGTCTGCATCTCTGGAGCTGTAGTTCAGAAGAAAACTACACAATTTACCAACTGAATGCTAGACACTGGAGAATCCATAATATTCTAGCCAGCGGAATCCTCCAAAGATCAAGCTGACAAGTAGTGACTTCCTAGAACAGTGGTTCTCAACCTGTGGGTCGGGACCCCATTTGGGGTCAAACGACCATTTCACAGGGGTCCCCAAACAATGCAGTCCGCCATTTTTTCCCCCTTTTCCTTAGCTGTGCTACTCCCTTTTATTCTATTGGCTTTTGAAAGCCAATAGAATAGACTCTCTTGAATAGAGTCTAATTCTATTGGCTTTCAAAAGCCAATAAGAATTGTCCAGGCTGTCTCTGCCCTGCTGAGCCTGCCAAAAGTCCCATTCTGCAAATGGTGCTGCACCAGTTGAGTAGTGCTCGACTTACAACCGGTTGAGTAGTCCTCGACCTACGACCGGTTGGGGGTCGCGGCATTAAAAAGCTTGAGAACCACTGTCCTAGAACAATGTTTCTGAACCTCATCAGCTTTAAGATGTGTGGACTTCAATTTCCAGTATTCCTTAGCTGACATGAGGAAACTTGATGAGGTTGAGTAACATTGTTCCAGGAGACCACGTGGGGAGAACCTAGCTGCTTTCTCCTGGCCTCTTCTAAAGCCCATGTGTAATTGAACAAGTCAAATCATTTATCTGGCTGGGGAAAGGCAGCTAGTCCCCCAATAGTCCCCCCACAAAACTAATGCAAACTCTAGTCTGTTGCTGAATCTAACCACAGCTAGCCACTTTCTCGTTCTCCTATCTGGGTTCTGATTTTTAGAAAGCTGGGAAGCTTACTGCATCTTACCCAGCCCTCACAAACCGTTTCTCCAACCAGAGTCTGGGAGGAGCATGAGAAAATCTCAAATGCACCTCAAAGTTAACACGAAGGGTTGCACAGATTCAAGTGGGACATTACTTCTCAATAAAGGAAGGGGAGATTTAAAAAATGCTCACTGTTAACCCCCCCTCCCCCAATGCTGGGATGTCTAGGCTAAGAAGCTCACATGACCCTTGCAAAGTCTATGGCTTCAGGTAGATTTTGGGAGTAGTTAGCTCTCTTTTCCCCCCAAAGCCATAGAGTTATCTCCTGGAACAGCTACAAGTTTTAGGCTAGGGAAAAAAAAGCTTCAGAGCTTTTTTGAAAGCTTTCCAACTTCTGAAAGCAAGGACTTTCCGACTAGCCTGGCCATGTCGTTCAGAGAAACGGCATCTCTCTCAGCTTTCTATATGCCACAAGTTGGCATGGTGTCCCTCAGCTGACCCTCTGGCCGCTATCACAAAACAGGCAGGTTGTGGATTTGTGGTTTTGCACAGCACACTGAATCATAAAACAACCAGACTGAATCTGTACAATAGGCTAAGCTTGCAAAAAAAAAAAAAAGCACCCTAACCCAAGTTAACAATAAACAAGTCAAACTGATCTTGTGCTTCTAGGCTTTTACTTGACCGTTAAACTTTGGTAAATCAGCTTCTGCTTCCCCCCTCTCTCTCCTCTTATTAGAAATTTGAGAAAATCGTCTACTTTTTAGCTAAGGGATTTGCTTGGAATAATTCCTATAATTTGCAGAGCTCTAAATCATTCGAGAACCAGCTGAGTGCCAAGATACCAGCTGAGCTCTGGCTTCAGAGACCATAAGGAATACTTTGGTTGGCTTCCCTGTCCAAGCTTTAACTTTTAATAACTCCAAACAATTCCAGGACTGAAATGCTTCAACATTTTAGCAAAAGCTCCTGTCAGAAACCTGACCACCCAGAGAACAAAATATCAGAGAACAAAAGAACTTTTCTCTAGCCAAGCACTGGGGTCTTTGGAAAGCTTCAGCTCAACTGCAGCTACCCTACAGTGGGATCAAAAAAAATAACCATGCATCAGCTCAACCAGCACGGGGTTCTAATGAGCTAGTGAGATGCTAGAAGCTTTCCCCCATCATGCTATGCTTACCAAGAAACATTTGGGGAGAAAACTGCAAGCTCGCTAGCAATCCCAGTTCAATTTCTCCAGAAATTGCAGCTTTAGAAAGCTGGCAGCTTTCCAAGCTGACTGGTGAACTTTAGAAATTCTACAGAGCGGCTAGAGCATTCCCCATCATGATTAAACCCACCGCTCAACTGGAAACGCTTGCAGATTTCTTTTGGAGCTAGCAATTTCTACCATCCTTGCTACCTCCACCGTTGAAAGATTGACAGGTCTCCCCATTGAGTGGTGGGTTTCACAGAAAGCTAGCAGTTTCCCCAAATTCCTCTCAAGGATTCTCCCAGCTATAGAGTAATCTTTGGAGAAACTCAGCTTGCTTTTGCCTCCTGTAATCGGTACAAAAGATTTAGGGCTTTCCTAGCAGCCCTATCCCAGCTAACCCCGGCAGTAAATTTCAACTGCATGCCCCCAAACCCAACGCGAGCTTTCAGAGAAACTACAGAGAAATTGCCTGTGGTTGCTCAAGCCAAATCTTAATAAAGGAACAAAGCAGCTTTGACCTGGCCAAGCCCTTAGCTTTAAAAAGATGCCGTCTCTGTAGTTTTTGAAAGCTTAGTAACCATACACTCATAGCTCAGGGGTTGGTTTCTGAGGATTCCTAAGCTCAGAGCTAAGAAAGAAAAGCATTCATCTGGTTCCCTAGGTAAGCGCTAGGCTTGGTTGTACATATCTCCCTGCCTTTTGCACCTAAAAGGTGAATTAGCCCCTAGCCATACGATGGGATTTAGGGAAGCTAGAGGGTTGCTGATACTTTTAACTGGTTTTCATTGCTGTTTTTCAGCCAAGAGTAAGGGGTGGGGTTGTAGAAAGGCATTGTGGCTGATGACCCCTGCCCTAGCTCTTGCTGTAAAAATTATTATAGCTAGGAAAGCTAGCATCCTTGGCCACTATTTTATAAGCTGGGCAAACGCTAGGAGCTTCTTCCCTTGAAAAGCTTGGGCTTCCGTCACTGAGCACTTGATGATAGTCACCACTGATCGGTCTCTACCTACGCAGCTAGTTTTAGAGAAAGCTCTCCAAATATCCCTAGCTGAATCTTTCGTTTTCTCTACGCGAGCCCCTAGCTTTGGAGACTCCTTTCATCTCAGCTCTAGCTGACCATCCGAGAAGCGAAGGAGATGGGTTCCAAGAAGCTAAGCCAAAAAAAGGGAGCTTCTTCTACCTTTCCAAAGCTACAGCTTGAGTACAAGATTCTCCGGCTGTTTCCTAGCTGATGATAGCTACAGCTACCCTAGAAAATGTGAAGCTTCTCCCTTGCTGAAATCAAGGGTTTTTCTAGTTACGCTCAAAGGCATAGCTAAGTAGGAAGCTAAACGTCTTTTCAAAAGGTGAAAACATGTTTCAGGGATGCTGAGAGAGATTCTGCCTGCCCGAGCTATTATTGCCTCAGATATAGCTAAAGCTACAGGGGTTGGGAAGACTAAGACGGGAAGGACAGAACTGGTAGCGCTTCTTTCTGGATAAGCTTTAGAGATATTAGAAGGGTCTAGCTCACTATCCCAAAACTCCAAAAGTTTTATTCAAAGGGGAAAGACATTGGATGAGAAAATTCTGGGATATTCAGAGCATCACAGAACACTGGGAGTTAAGATATTGAACAGGGCTGCTAATTTTGCAGTGAAAGCAATCTCTGTCTATCAATCAATCCAACAGTCAACCAACCAATCTTCCAAATAACTATCACCCTTAGAAGCATTTCAATAAATCACAACTCCTACCTTATAAGCAATACATCTTAACTAAATAGGACTATTCATTTGCCATGTACTAAGCTCCCCGTAGCTTGTCAGCTGAACTAAGTAAAATAATACCTTTTCTCAAACAAAATTCCAAAATGACCAATCCTTTCTTAAAATCAATTACTCAGAACAAGAAAGCGGGAAATTACAAACAACAGTAATTATTATACTCCACTAAGATGAAATAAATTGAAACTCTGCCACAGAGGATAAGAACAGAACAATCCCAATTTAAAAAACAAAAAATAAAGTGTTTTTTCGAGTTAAGAAAATTCAAAAACAACTTTCCTAGTTACTTGGAAGAAACACCTGTCCTTAAAACAAAACAAAACAAACAAAAAAATAACAACAACCCATATTCAAGCCACAAATTCATTCTTTTCTAAAACTTACCCCAAGAAAATCAGTCATTTCCCTCATGGGTAATTCATTAAAAAAATAAAAATAAAACCACCAACCAATAAAATCACTAAAACATGCTCTATATAGCTTAGCGCAAAATTATTAAGAAATATTCCACTTGTACGAAACAGAAACATAATTAAAATATATTGCTATAGAAATCAAGAAAATATTAATATTAAGGCATAATAATTAATTAAAAGAGCTTGTCATAGGAACAAGTAGAAAATGTATGATTATTGGCAATATAAATTGACGCCGAGGCAATATAAATATTTCTGTTTTTCCTTACCATTTTAGTGTGTGGTTTCTAGAAGAAAAACGCTCAGAAACTGTAGGGTGCCAGCAAAAACAAATGCCTAAGGAAAGACTAGCTTTTTTTTCCTTTTTAAAATTAAAACATGATAAATAACATTTATTTTGGGAAAAGGGAGGAAGAAGAAGACCTGAAAAAAACAGATGTTGTTTTCGAAACACTTAAGGCTATTTTCAGCCATGCAGAACCATTTTAGAAGCCCCAAACCCTTTCAGATGAAACTTGAGTCTTAAAATATACTAAAACTGAGAAACGAATCTATCACCACCTGCTCGCTGAACATCCCAGAATATTTTGTTTTCTGCCTGGCTATTTTAATTTCAACCCTCCCCCCCCCCCAGCATCCCAACTGCAAATAAACACATTAATTCTTTTTTTTTTTTAAAAAAAAAAAAAACATACTTATTTTCTATTTTTAAAATTTTATCTAACCAGCATTTTATTCTACTTTCTAACTTCAGTCTGTTTAAAGGCAATTATTTCACAATTTTTCTTCCACTTAACTAAAATGAAAATCTGTGCTGGATTTCCCCTAAACTTTATTCAGAAATCAGAAATCAGTCCCATAATAAATAAGACACTCAATTAAATTCTATAAAGATCAGGAGATAAAATAATACATGTATATAATAAAAAAATAATCAAAGTTCACTGAAAGAGAGAGAATCCTTTGATATATTAAAAATTGTCTAATTCACAGCAGAAACCTTTAACCATCTGAATATGTTGCCTGACCCAGATTCTTACAAAAGGCCATTTCAGAATTATTAAGTCTTTAAAGGACAATAAGACTTTATTCCCCTCTTCCATAGCAACTAGTAATAATAATAATTAAAGAATTGAAGAATTAAAAGAATGGAGGATAAAAGGAATAGAAATGGCTACCAATAGAAAAACAGGCAACAGAGAGACACAGGGATAGATTTACACTTTGTAAATCATATATCTAAGGTGTGATTATTTCTGCGTTGAAATAATTGAGGCAAACAGTAAAATAAAAGAGGAAGGAACAAACTATTTCATTTCTGCCCCTGGATATATGACATTTTTCATCCTTTGGTTAAAATATTTCAGAAATTAAAAACGTTGAGAGAATGGAAGAACTGGTATTTTCAACAGAGGCAAAATCCTTCCAAAATAGTAAAACTCTTCATACATATAAGACACACATAGGATTCAGAAAAAAAATTAGGTTTACCTGTGGTAACGATGACTAAGTTTCCAAGTCCCCAGTACTGAAACTCACACTTACATAATTCTTTGTGAAATATATTCTTAGCTCTTCAGTCACTGAGAACTGGACTGGAATAATTTTAAGTAAGTCCCTTTTCATGGCATATAAAATTGCATTGTTTCCTCTCATCTTTTAGAACAAACCTAATCAAATTTCAATAGGATCATATCCTTCTTCTCTATTTCCAGATGATGGAAACTTATGTTTTCTTGCAAAGAACATTAAGAGCCCAATTTTGCAACAATCTCCCTAAATTCTTCCAAATAGACAGGAAACGACAAAATGGCATTTTAGAAGAAAAAAGAGAGAGAACAGAGTAGAAAAACAAAAGGAGAAAAAGGGTCATTTTGATCTTTGCTGTACAGATTCAGTTCTGCCTGGAATGGATTCTAGTGAATCCAAGAAAATTGCATTAAAATCACAAAGAAAAACTCAGAAAATATCTTAGAAAAGAAGAAAGTTTTTACCTGTGGAGACGGTGACCGAGGTGCCTTTTCCCCAATAGTCAAACCAGTTGTCACACTGAACAATAGTCATGAGGTAATCATACAAGAAGTTTGACTATTGGGAGCCATATCTTAACTTTAATTTGTCAATTATCCTGACAGAATTTTAATATATTTAATATATATATATATAATTTATATTTTAATATATCTAATATATATATAATTAATGAATTCATATATATATTAAAATATAAATATATTAAAATATAAATATAAAAATATTTTTAATTCTGTCAGGATAATTGACGAATATATATATATTTGTATGTTCTCTTTCATATATATATACATATAAAAGAGAACATACAAATTGATACACAGCAAAGAGAACAAGAAAGAAAGAAAAAGGAAAAAACAATCAAGCTGAAGGAAAGGAAAAAAAAAAACAAATAGAAAAAGAACCCAAAGGATTAACTTTTGTGCACAATTAGTTGGTAGTAAATAGGCTCTGATGGCAATTACTTTGAAGTCATCAAGTATCAAACAATTCTCTAAAAAACATTTATTCTGCGGTTTCTTTTCAAACCTATTTAAAACTTCAGCCTAAAAATGATTAAGAAGCATAACAATTCAGATTTTTTTTTTCCTAGCGGGAACTCATATTGCATCTTTGCAACTTCTTGACCAACTTTCTATCCATTTGGATGAAATACAGATTTCTGTAACAATGGACAGTTTGGTTACTTTAATTAACGTTTGATTTTCCTGAAATTAAGAAGTCACCCTATCTTCTGAGTCACCTTCTGGGATTGCTTGTGCCCCAGAACTTTAATAGTGCCACAGACAAAATTTTAACATCACTTAGAAAATCAAAGCACAAAAAGGAAAAAAAATCAAAATTAGTAACCGATATTAGAGGTAGAAAGAATTATAAAACTTACCTGTGGAGACTACGACAGTTGTTCCTTTACCCCAGATATCAAAGTAGTCACATCAAGTCAACCAAGTACAAACCATGTGCAAAAACTTAATGAGGAATTATTTTATCCTTTCTAGACCTTGCAAAAATGACTTAAACATAATTTAAAGAAGTTCCAAAAAAAGATCCTTTGAATGACTTAAAAAGATAAAATCTATATATAAATTGCTCAGGACTAATTAGATTACGGAAGGAAAAATCCCTGAAGTTCCTGATACTTTGAGACAAAAATACAGATTGTGCCAGAAATATTCTAGACTGTTAGATCTGGAGATTTATAAAATTGTTGGATATTGCTATTGCTTATTATACTTTAGATTACAACAGATAAACTCCATTTTTTGATCCCTTAATGTCTAAATTCAGAAGAACAATTCATTTTTAAAGTCCTATTCGAAGCATGTTCTGAATGGATTTATAAAGAAGAAATTTAACTGAGGCCAGCGAAGCCATTATATTTTTTTAGGAATAACAAAAAAATGCATGGTCACACAAAGTTATTAATTAAGAGATCACCATCTGTTTCCAGAATGTGATTTCCAATAGCGTTGCTTATATCTCAGAACATTGACAGTGGCATAGAGAAAATGTTTAAAGTTATTTTGAAAATTGTAGGAAAAAGAAAAAAAAATCCAAATGAATAACACAAGAGGTAGAAAGAATGATAAAAACATACCTGGGCTGACTGTGACACTTGTTCCTTTACCCCAGTACTCGAAGTAGTCACATCAAGTCAACCAAATTCAAGCCATATACAAAAACTTAATGAGGAATTATGTTGTCCTTTACAGACCATGAAAAAGTGGCTTAGCCCTATTTTTTATAGACGCGCCACACAAAATACCCTTTAAATGGCTTTCAATGATTTTTTTTTTCAGAAATTGCAAAAGAGTCATGTAAAGACATTAATTAAAAGGTGACCCTCTCCTTTCCCACAATGATCTCCCCTATAAGACTGTTGATATGTCAGAACTCTAACAGTGCCACAGACAAAATTTTGAATGCCATTTAGAGAATTAAAGCCAAAAGGGGAAAAAAATTCCAAATTAATAACAGATGAAAGAGGTAGAAAGAGTGATAAAAACATACCTGAGCTGACTGTGACACTTGTTCCTTTACCCCAGTACCCAAAGTCGTCACATCAAGTCAACCAAGTTCAAGTCATGTACAAGAACTTAATGAGGAGTTATGTTGTCCTTTACAGACCATGAAAAAGTGGCTTAGCCCTATTTTTTATAGACGCGCCAGACAAAATACCCTTTAAATGGCTTTAAATGATTTTTTTCAGAAATTGCAAAAGAGTCATGTAAAGACATTAATTAAGAGGTGACCCTCTCTGGTTCCACAATGATCTCCCCAATAAGACTGTTTATATATCAGAACCTCAATAAGACTGTTTATATGTCAGAATTTTGTGCCACAGACAAAATTTTGAATGCCATTTAGAGAATTAAAGCCAAAAGGGGAAAAAAAATTCCAAATTAATAACAGATGAAAGAGGTAAAAAGAATGATAAAAACATACCTGAGCTGACTGTGACACTTGTTCCTTTGCCCCAGTAATCCAAGCCATCACATCAAGTCAACCAAATATAAACCATGTACAAAAACTTAATAAGGAATCACATTGTCCTTTACAGACCAAAGAAAAATATCCTTTAAGGGGCTTATTACTCTTTTGGTTGCAATGGACAAACTCGACTGTTTGATGCCGTAATGTTTAAATTTAGAGGTATAATTTTTTAAAAAAGCCTTTGAATAATCTGAAGTCCTATTAGAAGCCATGTTCTGCATGGATTCATAAATACCATATTTAACGCAGACTAGAGAATCATTGACTTTTTTTGGTGGGAATAGCAAAAATGAGAACGGTCACACAAAGACATGAATTGAAAAAGTCACCCTCTCTTTTTCCAGAATGGGAAATAAGATTGTTTATGTTCAAGAACTCTAATTGTGCCACAAACAACATTTTAATAACATTTAGAGAATTAAAGCCAAAAGGAAAAAAAGAATCCAAGTTAATAACAGATGGAAGAGATAGGAGGAATGAAAAATCATACCTGAGGTGACTGTTACCGTTGTTCCTTTGCCCCAATAATAAAAGTAGTCACATCAAGACAATCAAATACAAACCATGTACAAAAACCTAATGAAGAATTATTTTGTCCATTCCAGATCATGAAAAAGTGGCTTAGCCCAACTTTACGGTAGCGACAAACAAACAAACAAAAAAAGCACTTTGAATATCTTAAGAAGACAGAAATTACACATAAATTCCTCAGGACGAATCAAATATACATTGTGGCAAAACAATTCTAGATTTTGTTATTTAGTTTTGGAGATGTATAAAATCTCTGGATACTCAATGACTACTGCTTATTATACTTTTGATTGCAATGAACAAACCCAAACATTTGATGCCTTAATATCTAAATCTAGAAATACATTTTTTTAAAAAAAAATTGCCTTGTATAATCTGAAATCTTATTAGAAGCATGTTCTGGATGGATGTGTAAATATGACATTTAATTTAACATAGAAAATGGATAATTTTTCAATAGCACCAATGCGAATGGGCATCCAAAGACATTTTGAATGCCTTTGAATAGATAGCAGGTTTAGTTCACTTATCTTCACTTATTTTGAAAGCAACAGAAAATTGAGAAAAATACCACAAAATCCTTAAAGAAAAACAGTGTGAAGAACAAAAAAAACTAATTTAACTTACCGTTAGTTACTGTCACAGGAGTTCCTTGTCCCCATACATCAAAAGCATAGTCACAGTGATTTTAATTCCATTCATGCTTGACAAAAAAATATATCTCGCTCCAAACTCTCAAGGCTTCTGATGTTATATCTGCCCTGCTGTCTTTCCATTCCCCATTTTAATTATGCCTCTTTTCTGCCTTATATTCATATTCATATTCATATTCATACTTCTACTCTCTTTCTTTTTAATTAAAAAATATTTATCTTTGCTTCTCTTGCTTTGTATTTGGATAGGCTGATCCACAGCAGAAAAGCCCTCTTTAAATCATGACATCCATGTGAAACATATAATAGAAAACCTTCACCTGAAGTTACAGCTCCTGGAATTCTTTAGCCTCAGTAATCTAGTTGAACTGTAGCGATCCCATAAATTAATCTGTCTATTGCACAGGAATAAAAGTCTATTAAATGCCTCCCATTGAGAAGAAGACCATACATAGAGAATGGCTTATTTATTCAATTGGAGTGAATAGATAAATGTCTATGGGGATTCTTTGTCATCCAGGTCATGGTTGTCCCAAAGTTGCTTTTTCAAGATGCAACTGGACTTTCTTGGTTTTCTTTGAACATTTCTCATCCAAGAAAAATAAAGAAAGTCCAGTTGCCTCTTGAAAAAGCAACTTTGGGACAAGTGAATAGTTAGTTAGTTAGTTAGTTAGTTAGATAGATAGATAGATAGATAGATAGATAGATAGATAGATAGATTCACCTCATCCTACATTTCCCACTACCTCTATTTCCCATTTCAGTGAAATTGCAATTAAACCAATATTTCTGTATAGTTAGCTCCCAATAAGCTATTTTCTTAATATTTATGACTAGTCCAATGTTTAAAGAATTAAAAATATCAAGTAAACCTTTGAACATTAGGAAAAAAATAAAGTAGGAATATATATATATATTTACCTGAAGTGACAGTCACCAGGGTTCCTGAGCCCCAATAATCAAAGTAAGGATAGCTACACCTTGTTCAATTTTTAATTAATTTCTCTACAAAAACCACTTAGACATAAGGTGTAATCTTTTGCTTTTGGTTTAGGAGAATTCTACTGAAATGCTTGCTCATTGGCCCAACAAGAAGTCTATTCAAGCATCAGGAAATGTTTTTTTTTTAAAAAAACAGAAATAGCAGACTGTTTTCAGAGTATATAAAAATATACACCTAGAAACTAAGGAATGGGCTATGCCATTCCTGAACTGAGGAATGGGATAGGCCAAAATTCTAAGGCTACAAAGTCCAAGAAAGGTAAAATTAAGGACATATAGATAACTAGATTTTATTTGAAGAGTGACAAAAAACCCTTTCCCCCAGTAGCACAGTGGGGTTTATTTTATTTTTTTTAATTTTTGCAT